GAGGGGATGGGTAACTTCAGGTGTTTGATTTAGAAGTTACATTCTTTGTGTTTCATATTGTATATTCACTGTATTAAAGTCACTTTTCATTAAAGCTTTATATGTTTTGTCTTGTTGCGGCGGATGGCAGAACCCACTTAGAGCAGGCAGGTTTTGGGGCCTCAGGGGTGCCTCTCTCTGAATTGAGGTGCCCTATAACAATATGACAATAGCTAGCCAAGAAAAGGAAGCTAAGATAGTCTGCTTTGGACATGGTGTGCGAAAGTGATAAAAGCGAGGCAAAGGAGTTAATTTTCAAGACAAAAAGGGACAGGGACTCAGGAAGGACAGGGAGGTGGATTCTGGAAGTTCTTATGAAAAGGTGGCAGTTCATTCACATCAATAATGGGAACCCAGTGGGGGATTGGAAAGGACAGTCCTGGTTCTTGTCTTGAGGGACAGGTTAACATTGATCATGTTGAATGGGAAAGAGCCTCATTTTGATTTTGGACATTTAAACTTTGAGATGAGAGTTAAATAAAAATAAAAGAGCTCTTAAAGAAGTGAACATAGAAAAAAAAACAGTTGAAGATACGAGGTTAGTGATAAAGGTTGAGAGGAAGAGGAAGCAATACGTAATAAAAATGTGAAGAGTGCTAGAAGGGAGAGGTAGAAAAGCAAGACGCTCAGTGGGTGGTCAGGACTTTTCTCTCAGCGCTCATACAAACTGGGACAGTGACCCTATGTAACCAGGAAAAAAAGTCAGAGCTAAATAGATGGCAAGGTTAACAGTATTTATTACTGGGCGTGTCTGACAGCTACATGAGCATATCTCATGGGTGGTGAGCTATCTCCCTGCCTCAAAGGATATTTCCATTAGCCCATCACACCCTGACAGAGGAGAAAAGTTCCTTTGGGTTTCAAAGACTTTGGACTATATCAGGAAATAAACACCACAATGCATGTTGATTTTAGCTGAAAACTAAGTGAATGATGTTTCCTACCTTTTTCAATTGTCTTGGTTAGAGTCTTGACTTGATCTTGTAGCTTTTTAATCACTCTATCCTTCATGTCTAACTCTTCTTCAAGATCCTACCAAAATCAAAAGACTTAAGGATATTAGTCAAGAGGCTTAATCTACTTTCCAGGAAGTAGCTTTACTGAGCTATAATTTACATACAATGGTTTTGGTACTTTCAGCTACACAATTATCACTATTATCTAATTCAAGAATATTTCATCCAAAAACAAACCTTTTTTTAAATTTATTTACATTTTACATCACTGTTCATTGTTGGGGACCGAGGCTGGCATCTTGCGTCTGTCAGCATCTTGCGCCATAAAAAGGTGAAATGGAGTCCGGATAGGGAAAAACATCCGGGTTGCAAAAGGCATGTGGGAAGAACTCCCTGCCCCCACCTTTTCCTTTTCCTCTTTCTTTTCTCGCCCACTTTAGCCCCTCGTGAGACCAACTGCCACCAAAACATGCTGCATTTCTCCCTTTCTGGCATCCCTCTCCTCTTGTATATAGCTGAGGTAAAAACCCAATAAAGAGTTCTTTCTTTGTTCTGCTACACGCGTGACTGATTCTTTTGTTTGCTGGACCTGGGGCCCCGACTCTCCGGCCTTGCTGGTCAAGGTCCCCCGCAGTTCATTTGTGTACAGTGTTTGCTTTCTCCTCTCAGGTGTCGACCCCATCACATTCCCACCAATCCACCTGTGCATCATCCCCAGTCTCTTGTATTCTCCCTCCCCTTCTTTGATCCCTCTCCATCCCTCCCCTAGAATGTCTCTAATTTTTTAAATTTATAATAATTATTATTTTTTTCCTGATCCCCCTTATTTCAAACCTAACTTTTAGCCCCCCTATTCCCTTCTACCTCTGGCAATCACAAATTTCTTCTCTCTCTGTTGCCTTTACTAGACATTTAGTATAAAGGGAAGCCTACAATGTGTGGTCTTTTGTGCCTGGCTTCTTCCAGTTAGCATCACACTTTCAAATTCTTCCATGTTATGGCACTTACCAGAAGTTCATTCTTTCTGTGACTGAATACTATCCTATTGTATGGCTACACCACACTTACCTCCATCTATTTTTTCCTTAATAAAGTAATTCCCACTGTAGAGAATTTCAAAATATGAATGTATGAATGAGTGAATGCTATCTGTATGCCAGATAGGAGGCAGAAAAACTTCTGAGATGCAGGTCCTAGTCTTGCCTTTCCTAAGTCCTTCTCCACATTGGATTTGACTCCAGGATGCCTGTCATTATTTCCTATAAGGGGCATGGAGACTCCATTTTCTTCCAGAATTCCAAGGGCTTAGACAGAAAGGATCGAGCTTGCTGGCTTCTGCAAAGCCCTTTCCTCAGCCACAGCAGCATGGGCTCTCAGGACTCCGCATAACGGCTTCTCCCCCACGGCCACACTGCTGCTATGCTGCTATGCCTGAGTCTTTGGTTGTGCACATCAGCAACCTTGCCAGCCTCACAAGTGGGGACAGTTTCTTTCCTCTAAATCGACCCAACCTCATAATACATCTAATAATAATTAAAAAAAACCCACCCATCAATCTAGCACTTGAAAGAAACCACTGTTCACATTTTTCTCTTCTTCATTCCTATTGTTTTCTATTATGGCACATACATAGATTTCAGTTAGAATCATATAGCATATAACGTGTTATTTTTATATTTCTTATATTTTCCCTAGTTATATTGCAGATAGTTTCCCATATCCGATCATTTTACTGGCTAAATCAAATGCCCTGATACTTACTGTTAAAAAACATCCACTTTGTTTCCTATTTTTTCTATGATTGATAACAGTATGATGAACTCTGAACACAAATCTTTGTCCATATGTCTGATTAGTCAACTTAGGAAAGATTTTTAGAGGTTGCATTAGCTGAGTCAAAGGAAATTCACTTCATGAAATTTGCTTCCAAATCACCCCTGAGAAAGTTTATACCGATTTATACTCCCAGAAGCCATGAGTGACAGTGCCCCATTTCAAGATGTTCTTACCAGCACCTAAGATCACTATTTGTGAAACAAACATAATATCTAATTTTAGTTCTGAATCTGTTTGATAATGAGGGGATCACTAAACATTTTATTCCTTTTTACATGGAGATTTTCTTTGACTCAGAGGATCACAGAGTATGTTACAGTGTCTCTTCACATCCAGAGCCCCAGAATGTGACCTCCTTGGGTGCAATTGTAATTCAGCTAAGGATCAGTATGAGCTCACACCAGATTAAGTGGTCCTAAATCCAGTAAGCCTGTACTGTGAACAGACAGAAAAGGACACAGAGCAGAGGATGGTCATGTGAAGACAAAGACCAGAGTTATGTTATCATAAACCCGGGAATACCATGGGCACCAGTAACATCAGGCCAAGAAGCATTTCTCCCCTAGACACTTGGAGTGGCCCCTGCCAACACCTGAATTTGAATTTCTGGCTACCACAACTGTGAAAGAACAAATTTCTGTTGCTTTATATCACCAAATTTGAGGTAACCTGTTAATAGTAGCTGTAGGAAATGAAAGCAAGTCTCATTTGGGGGCAAAACTGACCACCTAGTGCACAGAAATTATATATTCTTTTGTTGCATGTTCATTTGTGAAACTGTAGCTACTCATTTGGTCAGGAATACAGTTGTCTCTTGGTATCCATGTGGACTGGTTCCAGGACTCCAAAGGATACCAAAATCTGTGGAAGCTCAACTAGCTTATATAAAATGGTATAGATTCTGCATACAATCTGTGCATATACACTAATCCTTCAAGTCAGCTCTTGATTATTTATAATATATAATAAATAATGTAAATGCTATGTAAATAATTGTTATGCTGTACTGTCTAGGGAACAATAACAAGAAAAACTCTGTACTGACATAACAATCACAGGCCTTATGATGAAGAATGTACTTTCGACCTGTAGTTTAAATTTGGAAATGTGGAAACTGTATACAGAGATTTGATGGGAGTCTGTTGGAATGATAGGACAGTTCCCTAGTGCAGTGCACATGAAAGAGGCCTGGGAACAGAGCCACACACATGGGGCTCTAGAGGAGGTACAGGGTGTGACAGAAATGAACTCTCACAAAGCCCAGAAAATGTAGGGATCGACACACTCCCAGAGCCCCACACTCACAGCCTAGGAATAAGGGTTACAAAAGTGAGCAACATACATGTGATCCACCCTGCACCCACTTCCTCACCACTGGCTCCCACTGAGGACCCAGGGACACACACACAGGCACAGCTGCAGGGGCAGGACAGCCGCTCACATGTGCTCAGCAGGCAGTGGCTCACCTGTTGTGACTGAGGACCTACATCTCTGAGCAAGCTGTACCCCCTTCAAAAAAGATGGCACATGTAGGTTCCCAACTGGGATTTTTTACTTCCTATTAATATTCAATTCCCTGGATTCCTCTTTCACATAAAATTACTCTTCAAAGTTAAATCATGATGCTACAAGATGTGGCTTTACCCTAGCATTTCCTCCTGTGAAAGAGGAAATGGGGAGCCACTGGGCAGCAGGGCCTGTGGGTACGTCTGGTCTGGCCACTGCCTGGTGAGTCTGTTCAGGTTGCTGTACTGGAAGCTGTCTGGCCAGCGAGGAGCCTGACAGCATTTGGCTGCAGGGAAAGCGTCACATCCACTACTTCACAATCTGTGAGTTTCACACACTGGAAACATTCAGAACTTCTGGGGCCTGACGCAGAGTTGCTAACTTTCATTTTAACAAAGGCACTTACAACTTCATGAAGACTTAAATATTTTTTCAAATTTTATCCTATCCTATGATGCTCATTACATAAGACATTTTGATTCTAAAAGCTGCAGGAAGGGCCTGTCGCCAGGAGTCATGGGCATTCAATAGATAAGTTCTGTCCAGGGAAGTTCACACATCAGCCTCCCCCGCTCTGAACTCTAGACAGGCGTTGTGGTCTCTGACAGATGCTGCCCTGGAACTGTGCTCATGACGAGGGTCCTGTACTCCATCATCTCTCTCCCCACCAGCCTCCCTTTATCAGGTAAGCTCCTGCTGCCTGTGTAAGTTGTGAGTCTCCCCACAGTGGGGAGACTTCCTGTTGTTTGAGACTGCTCTGACAGAGATGCCTGTTGGCCTACTATTCATGGATGACTGGCAGGGAGAGGTGAGCCCCCTTTGCTGTGGCAGCCACACCCAGGCCGCCATTTCTGAACCAGTTAGAGAGCTCACCCTGTTTTCCATCGTGAGACGAGATGCTTCCTGCAGGAAAGTACTCTTGACTTCACTTTCAGCTTCAAATTGTTTCTTTAGGTGCTCACTGGCCTCTTGCATTTCTTGAATCTTGTCAATCAGCTTCTCTTTCTCTTTGGAGTGTACTTCATTTTGGGCTTCTATGGTTCTGAGAAATGAATAGAGGAAATTTTGATATTGGTTTGCTATCAAGGAGGATTACTCACTATAATAACAAACACTGGTATTTCCAAAGATGTAAAAATATCTTGCTTAATGTATGTATAAAGTGACTATATCTGAAAGGGGGTCTTTGAAGTCGGGATTGGTGAGAGAATAAAATTGCCCAGTCTCCTTAATCTGATAAGAGATTCTCTACCCACCTACCTACACCCTACATCCCTCCCTGGGGATACCACACCCACTCAAGTCCTTATGACCAAAATCCAATGAGTACTGCTTCATAAGTAGCTTGGGAACCAGACATTCAAAAAAGTCAGGGACCAAATTGAGAGGAAAAGCCCATTAGAAGAGTCACAAAAAGTCTTACTACTTTCCCACCATTTTTGCCTACTGTTCATTTTGTCCTACTGCTAAATTAGCATAACTAAAAATGCTCTCTTGTGACAGTGTCTCTTTAATGCTCTTCGGATTGCGCTCACTTATGGAATATAAAGTAACAAAGCAAAGGAACAGACAAAACTAAACCCAAACAACCCTGAGAAATATGACTAGATCTGAGGTGTGAGGGGAAGGCAGTGGTGACAGGGCTGGGGTGGGTAAGGAACAAAGAGGAGAGGCCCACAGACTATGGTGAAGAGTTGTGCTTCAATGGTAGGCATGGCGTGGTAACCTATATCCGAATACCCCTTAGTCATTTATACACTTACAAACAAATGTTACCTAAAAAAAAAAAAAAAAAAAGAGGGCCTCCTTGGTGGCACTGGGCTTGAAGTCTCATCAAAAAAAAAAAAAAAAAAAAGAGGGCCTCCTTGGTGGCACTGGGCTTGAAGTCTCATCAGCCACTGAGGCATGAGTTCCATCCCTGGCCAAGGAGCTGATCCACATGGTGCAGCAGACCCTCTCCTATCTCACCTGCTGCTCCCTTTAGCTCGTATTTCTTCAGCCTGCCTGTTCTGCTTCTCAGTCTGTCTCTGGTTCTCTCATGAATCCTCGCATCCCCCATACATCTGGCCTACACCCCAGTTCTTACATGCATAAATAGAATAAATCTTTAAAAAAAAAAAAAAGGAAACAAACAAAATAAAAAAACAATCTAAGAAGTTGGCTACAAAACAAAACAGTACATTTGCCTCACTGGACTCCACTAAGCCACCCATTGCAGGTAGGGTGGAAATTTGGGGTGGGAGGGGCACAGCTTCAAAGAAGTTTCTCTTTTAATAAGCATAGTGAGATCCTATAAGACCTGGGAGAGCAAATCTATTCCTTTTCAAGCAATCTTTACCAGTTTTGGGGGCGGTTAATCCATGTGCATGGTACCTTACCCTGAGGGCATAAAGCACATTCAGGGGAAACATTTGCCTGCCCTCCCTGTGCTCACCATCCAGTCACCCTACCTGGAGGCAAATGTTTTGCTTTTTGAATATTTCCCAGGGGGGAGCGTGTGTGTGTGTGTGCACATGCACACACATGTATTTCTTTCTTCCCATTTGAAAGGTAATGTATCATGCACCTGAGTTAGTCATGCACCTGAGTTAGCAGTCTGTATCTGTTGCTCAACCACTATCCCAGTATCTCTTACTGTTTCTGAAAGGATTACATGAACATGAACTTGAGTTACATACACACATGTTAACACTTACCTTCTCTGTGCTCCCTCTTCTTCTTGATTGCGATGAAGCTGAGCAGACAATTCTTCCAGTTTTCCTATATATTGAAAAGGCTGTTAGTACTTTGGGGACATGCCAATGCATTCTGATTTGAGTTTAGCTGTATTTTAAGTTATTAGTGGCCCCAAGTTCTATCCAGATAGAGATTGTTGGGCCTAAACAATGTCTAAAAAATTTTAAGTATTTTAAAATTGTGATATTTCACGTAAAAATCTGGATGTCTTTTCTTTAAAAATAAGATTATCGAGCAACACTGGGACCCTAGCACTCCATTATGGCAACAAGCAATCGCGCTTGGAGACAACTGCCTTCTTAAAATCCCATGTGTCTTATTTACATTGTGCCCAGCCCCCTTCCACATATGTCACCTGGCTAGCCTCAAGGAGCATCAGTGTTTGAGGTCCTTGCCTGCACATGACAACATTTTATGTCATTTCCTGGATACCAGAGACTTTTTAAAAATAATGCCCATGTTCCTAGACAGTTCAATTACCTTTCATGATTTCAGTCTGTTCAGCCAGCCGGATTTCCAGCTCTTGCTTCTGTCGCTCCAGTTCTGAAATTTGCTGTTTAAAGTCTGGGATCATCTGTAGAGAAGAAATTTTTGAATATGAAAGACTTTGCATCTATGAACTTTAAAATCTCAGAGCTACTCAGAAACAAATAAACCATGTATGTGTTTAAACCCATGAAACATGGGCTAGCCTGGGTGGGCAGTAAAGCCAGACACGGCAGGTGACTGATGGACACTGTGTGCTTTTACTGCAATGGCTTGACAGTCACAAGAAATGCCAGCGTGCTCAGAGGGAGCTGCTCCCTCACAGCTTTACATCATCGAGGACTCCTTGGAGGGGAAATATGCAGTCTGAAGGATGCTTGAGAGTGCTATGGTGAGTGAAGGGAAAGCTGGCAGCAGGAATGGCCACCAACTTCTTTGGTCGGGGTACTTTATCTCCTCACCAATAGGAATATCATCTCAGAGGGGTCCCCTGTGTCCTTTGAGGTCCAGAATGTGCACTGCTCTATTAGTGGAAGTCTGGAATCTTCTTTTCCTGTCTCTGTTCATTTCTTTAAATGCTCATCACCTCCACCTTCAGTCAGGTAAAAGCAGTTTTTCTATAGTTCAAGTTTATATGAACACCCCTGTCTCTGAAGTTGAAGCAAAGAATATTTGTTTGATTGTGCCATTAGAGCTCATCACAATCTCCTCATGGAGTGTTACCCTAGGAATAAAGAAGGATGTGAAGATTCTTACTGTTCCATGTGTCCTCTGTGCCAGGGTCATATCTCCTTAGCTGTGAAGCTGCCCTGACACTTCCTAAAATTCCCAGTTAGGCAGAGGAGGAGACAGTAATGAAGCTAAGAAGGGTCAGTCACTGAGGCAGGATGAGAAACCTAGCAGAACATAGTGTTGTGGAAACAACAGAATGATAAGGAAGGGGGGGATATGAGGTTCAGAAAAGGATGTGAGTGAGGAGGTTCCTGTAGAGTTTCTTCATGCCAGTAGGCTTGGGTTAGAAGAAAGGATGAGACGGGTACAGTGGGAAAGGACGTACTGGAAAAGGTGAGTGGAGGACCTAAGTAGAGGGACTGACCCATAAACACACCCTTAGCACAGGGTCTTGGTTTGCTGTGCTCATGACCGTGAGTCAGACGTGTGCAGTCACTCTGAGACCTGACAGCCAAAACCACGCTCAACGAACACAAGTCTGCTAAGCACATGGAGTAGCAGGCTAGGGAACTTAGAGTAGTCAATGACAGAAGCTTCCAGCTAGTTAGGAAGCATTAATCATTCAACCATACTTGAATGATTTTTGTCACTTCCCAAGGGACGGGGACTAGACTGAAAATTCAGAGACTTAAACATACACGCATATATCTCAGAATTTGGGCCCATCAATGATAAACACACATACACTCATATCAAAGTGTTAGCCAGCCTGGTTTATGGGTTATAGTTTTGTCTTCTGTCTTTGTCAAATGTTTTGCTTCTAGAAAAAGCAATAACCCATCATAGAATAATGACCATGACTGGCCCAAGTTTAAGACCTTACCAAGTTTTCTGATGTTAGCCTGGTAACTTCATGATGGATACTTTCATTCTCTTCTCGAAATAATTTCTGCAGGTGGTTGATTTCTTGACTTAGATGCACCACTTTGAAGGTCAAAGCTTCAATCTCCTTTTCATAGCAATCCTTCTGAGACTGGAAGTGGCTCTCTAAAACACTGATAAAGGAGAGGCCAGACAAGCACAGGGTCTTGGTTTGCTGTGCTCATGACCGTGAGTGAGTCGTGTGCAGTCACTCTGAGACCCCACAGCCAAAGCCATACTCAACGAACACAAGTCTGCTAAGCACACAGAATTGCAAGGCTAGGGAACTTAGAGTAGTCAATGGCAGAAGCTTCCAGCTAGTTAGGAAGCATTAACATGTAGCTAATGACAAGAAAGTTTATTTTGGATGTTACTCAACTTAGGTTTTTAACCCAACAGTTTAGAACTATGCTCTGTATAAATACAACCATAGCAAGGTTACAAGTCATTTGCAACTGTCAAAACCAGAGAATGCAGGATCTGAGAGTGAACCTTAACACAGACTCTGGACTCTGGGTGATAATGATGTGCCAGTGTGGGCTCCCAAATTGTAAACAGACAGAGCACTCGACAGCATGGCTATATGTGAGGGTAGGAGGTACTTGAGAAATCACCACATTTTTTGCTCAGTTTTGCTGTGAACCAGAAACTGCTCTAAAAGTATTTGTTAATATAAAAAAGAAATCCTGCAAAATCCTTAAATATAAACACATCCATACATCTATAGCAATGTTGGCTTACTTACCTGATAAAGTCCATTTTTGCTGTACAGATTATGGGTTTCATTGTGTGGCAATTTACCCCAGGAAAAGACTGTCCTTCATTACTAAACTAATTACCAAAAAAATATTTCCAGGGATTACTAGAACATTCTACTGGAAGAATTCTAACTTGTGTGTCAAATCTATATAAGATAAAACTCATGACTTCCAATAATCTATTATCTCCGAAAAAATAAAATAGCCCTGGGGAAAATTTCTAACCGTGTTGCTTTCTTCAGTCCTTCATAAGCAAACCAAAGTTCTCCATCCTCATTTAAATGCTCTAAATCTTCCACAGAAAGCCTGGAAAATAAAGAAGGTAAGAAGATTTACCATTTCTGTCATGTGCTTTATGTTTTAAAGGTTTGGTCATATAAAAGTGATTACCTGCTTCTTACATCTTCAATGTCATAGCTTTTAAGAAGTTGGTTGGTCATCTCTGACATTTTTTCTGAGAGGAAAAGGAAGAGCTGGTATAAATTTATTTTTACATCACTTCTCTTCTCCCATACCCTTTCTTGGATCCACTTTTCTAGTTCATCACAGTCTTCAGCTAACCATCCAGAAGGTAACTAACTTAACCTGCTATCCAACCAGGTTATCCAATTAAATAACTCACTAGCTATGCAGCCAATCTGCCATTCATCCTGTCATTTGTCCAGCTAACCAGATACCCCACCAGCCTCATAACAGTCTAAGGACACATTTCCTTCATAGTGACATCTGTGAAACATTCCGTCTGCACCCAAGGACTCAGTGACAGCTTTTTGTTACCTCTCATTTCCCGCTTTTGTGACTGCACATGTTTTTCCACCTCTATCTTCTGTGCCTGCAGTAGCTCTATTTCCTTTTCAAACTCTGAGATTGTCTGAATGAAGGCAATGATCAAAGAAGGTGAAGAAAAAATAGCTGTTAGGATTTACATCAAAGGGAATATTCTGACAGTATCTCAAATCTGTGTCCTCACAGCTCCTCAGTTAAATTTTTGTTAAATCTCACTTCCCATACTGTTTCCCCTCAAATCATGTTTAAGTGCTCAAAATACTGTTATTTGTTCACAGATCTTGCTTATACCAACAGAATCAACTTCTTTATTATCTAAAGGGAAAAACTTGGGGTTGGGTGGGAGCTAAGTAAAGGAGCAAGGGATAAATTTTCTTTCACCGTATGATTAAAGTCCTGTATGTAAGAATATGGGCAACACTATCACCTTTATAATTGTAGGATAGGGCACCAGCAAGGTTCAGATGCCATACAGTGGTAGAACCAAAGTGAGCCCAGAATGTCCAGAAGTTGGGTGCGGGGGCCTGGCCAGGATCCTCGGAGGGCAGCTCGTTTGTGAGCAGTAAAGACTGTAGGCTTGTGTAGCTATGGGAGCTATGCTGAAGTCCCAGTTACCCATGTTCATGGGTTATATTCCTGTTTCTATGCAGGTTAAGAAGACAGATCAAATTAACATTCACTAATCACTTTGCATACATGTCTCATTCCTGATAACAGGCCTAAAGGTGGGCAGAGTGATATATAGAACTAAAGCATGGAGAGGGTAAATGGCACATTTGTGTCAGCTGGCAGGCTGACGGGGAACCCAGGAATGTCTAGCCCTCAAGCCCCTGACCTTTGTAATGTTTCAGTAAATGTTCCAAGCCACATGTTTATGTACTTATAGACTGAATATAACATGTGTAACTTGATGATGATGTTTAGTTTCTTTCAAATCAGAGGAATCTGGGTATAATGCTAGGTTGTACATGCACTGTGTATGTAACAAGGGGTGTGGACCCAGGCTCAGCACCCAAAGAGGCAGTGAGTGACAAGTTGTGGCCCACTGCTCCAAGTGCCCCCACCTGATTTCCCAAGACACACACTTAGGGAGGTGGCACGACTCCCAGATTGACATCAGGGGTATGTGAGAGCTAGAAATGTAGCAGTTACAGGAATACATGTTCCTTCTTAACTCCTCAGTTCAGCTCATACTTTTAAATGATAGGAATCTAGGGTCCAGAGAACAAGGACAGTTCTGCTATGAAATTCAGATGTAACCCAGGTGGACGGTAATAGGTATTTGCAGAATCTGAACAAACATTCCACTAACACATATTTTCACATATTTAATGGAAGCTTAAAAACATTCTAACCTTATATTAAAATGCTTTGCATTAAAGAACTTAGGGCCTTGACTGTTTAAATATGGAACTTTTTTTCCCTAAGATTTGTTTTTATACATTACAGAACTGGGGTACAGGCCAGAGGTGCAGGGATGGTGAGAGGATTCACCAGAGACAGAGTGGGGAGCAGAATAGGCCGACTGATAAAGTACACTGCTGAGGGGAGCAGTGGGTGGAGAGGTCTGCTGCGCCATATGGGTCACCTCTGGGCGGGCGGGAATCGAACTCATGCTGAAGCAGCTTTAGCTTCTTCGTGCTATTCTTTAACCCGCTGCGCCACCAGGGAAGGCCCAAGTATGGAACATTTTTTGGGTAGATTTTCAGGTCACAATCTAAAGCAGAAGATTAAGACAACAGGGTCATGTAATTTCAGTGCAGGTTATTTATAGATGTGACAACAGATGATTTATAAAAGGTATTACATCAATTTATAATTTAATTTGGAAGTATTCTTTAGGTCAACATATTTGATTAGCTATATAGTTTCAAAAAGCTAGAAAGCTGACTTTCAAAACATGAAAAACAAAGTGTAAAAAATCAGGGATTTCCCTGATAGCCTAGAGTTTAAGTCTCAGCAATATCACTGCCCTGAGTTTCATCTCTGGGCAGGGAGCTGATCCACAAGGTGCAGCAGACCTCTCCTGTATCTCCCGCTGCTCCCCTCAGCAGTGTATTTCAGTAGATCTGCTTATTCCGCTCCCCACTCTGTTTCTGGTGAATCCTCTCACCTCCTGCACCTCTGGCTTACATCCCACTCAGTTCTTCTATGCAGATATAAATAAAATCTTTTTTTAAAATGTAAAAAAATCAAAGGCAGCTAGGGGGGGCCTATATTTGGAAGAACTGAAGGAATCGGGATCTTTTCACTTTGACCTTTACAAAGATGCTTTTAGCAGCTTGATCCTTGGAGATGTCAAAATGCTCCCACTGTGCAGGTGAAACGACTCAGCTAAAGCATTATGGAAGTGAGACGCAGCATCTACCTTTGCCTGCTTGCTCAGTCGGGCCACATCTCCCTTAAGGTTGTCAGAGGTGATGCACTCTTCCTCCAGCTGCTGCTGCAGCTGCATCTTCTCATCCTTGAGAGTTTCAATTTCTTCTTTTAATGACCTGATCTGTGTCTCATAGGCTTGTGATTTCAGTTCAAAACTTTTTTCAAGAAATCTAGTCAGCAAGAGAAGAAAATAATTCATGATTGCCTCTAAAGTCTCTACCCTGAATTGCAACAATACATCACTTTGAAAATAATGAGAGGAGACTAGAAAGCAGGAGACAGGTTAATGGGGATCTACTGTGACAGTTCTGATAGGTGCGGCCTTATTTTTAGCTATTTCCTGTCCCTTTAAGTTAAGGAAGCTTTTTATACCTTCTGATCTGAGAAGTATAATTCGGTAATGATCATACATAGAAAATACAGGACAGGGAGTTTGAAGTTTAAAGACTCAGAGGTAGTTGTGGAACTGTAAATCCTGAAGTCACCCCATTCCACAAAGTCCCTTGGAGAAACCACCTAGGCACATTCTGCTGAGCCCTGGCTCTTCCCCAACTACAAGTCCTTGTAGCTGTTTTGATCCTGAACAAGTTAATATATGTGGAGGGGTCTAGCTACAAATATTCTAGAATTAACTGTAGCAAATACAGGTATCCAACATTCCTGGGAAAACTCTTTGTGAAATGGTTGCTCAATTAAAAATTAGATGACTGACCAAGAAAAGATCTGCAGAGAGATACATGACCAAGACCAGCCCATCACAGCCCACTGCAGCCCAGCCAGAACTGAAGCAGAGGGCTCTATGAGCTTATTAAATCATCATTTCACGTGAGCTGTCAATTCTGTTCATTTTATGACTGCTTTTATAACTCAAAGGGAAAACTCCTTTGTGAGAGCCATATTCCTAACAGATTTTGGTTTCATTTCCTTTTATGGATATTAGTAAGCTCTTAAACTGTTTTCAGAAAATGTCACTGTTTCAATGAGACCAATAAAACAAACTGCAACCAGAATTCTGATGTAAAGAGAATCTTAGGCTTGCAGCCTTAAGTGGTTTTGAGTGCATCCACAGATGACAGGCAGCTCCACAGTTATGACAGGAGCCAAGATTTCCTTCCCCAGTCAGCACAGCAGGGCCCAAGAGAGCTACAGGTGGATGCTGACAAGGACTGCAAAGAGTTTAAAGCAGTGATGCAGATCAAGACCACAATGAGATACCACTGCACACCCATATGAAAATAGCTAATACTGAAAAGATCAGAAACAAGTGCTGGCAAGGATGTGGTGCCTTCTACTACTGGTGGGAATAAAAACTTCTCCAGCCTTACAGAAAGCAGTGTGGAGCTATCTCAAGTCATTAAAAAAATGAATCTGCCATATGACCTGTGATTCCACTCCAGGGCATCTACCCCCAAAATGGAAAGCCACTAATTTGAAAGGAAACTTGCACTCCCATATTTAACTACAGTGCAATTTCCAATAGTAAGATTATGGAAACAACCTAAATGCCTCAAAACAGATGAACAGATCCAGAAGATATGGGGTATATATATACATATACCCATCCACAGTGGAATACTACTCAGCAATCAAAAGGAATAAACTCATGCCATTTATAACAACATGGATGGAACTGGAAGGGACAATGCTGAATGAAATAAGTCAAAAGAAAAAAGACAAATATAGGATGGTGTCATTGACATGAGGACTACAGAGAAATCAATCTAAGAGTGAGATAAAGGCAAGCTTAAAAACTATCCCTTGAAAGCTGACTATAGAACTGAAACATCCGGAGGCTATAGTAGGTGGTGTAGGGGTTTCAACAAAGAATGAAGAAAGTATAGTGGACTACAGTGGAGAACAATGGGTGGTTTTGTGTTGGGTACACTACAGTGGTAGTATCTGAAGGGGTATCCTAATATTACCTCAAAAATAAATAAATAATAAAATAAAAAGTAATCCTTAACACAAAATTAAAATAAATCCAAACTTGTATACATTCAAAATCAAAGAGCCTGAAGCAATCTGGTATCAGGATCTCCATTCCTTGCTTCAAGTGTCCCCATACTTAGTGAAATGTCAAGAGCTGAGCTCACCTCATTCATTGAATTAATTGAAACATAGATATTTCAAGGTAAAGAAAATATCCCTAATTTAAACTTGATGGAAATCCATGAATACACCATATATTTGTTAATTCTTGAAGCTGCAATGACACTTCCTCTGTTCCTTCCCTAACTTTGTAGCATCCAGACCCAGGTTCTGTTTACTACATGGAAAATTTGCAATTTCCTGCACTTCAGGCATCCCTTAACCTGCAAACTCCCAAAGGAGACATACCAATAATTTTCTATCTTGCCATGTAGCACTACCTTGAGATTGAAAATCTTGAGCTGACTACTCAAGAGGAGCAGCCTGGAGCCTTTGGAAATGAACAAAGGGTTTGATAGAGATAGGAAACAAGGTTGGGGTAGGGGTAGGGGGACCTGCCTTGATTTTTGTGAAATGGGGGACATCCCTTGTCTGGGATGAGTCAGGGAGAGGCTTACTTCCTAGGAAATAATATTAATTATTGGTCTTGATGGAAGTTGGGAGGGGTGGCAATCTCTGAACTCCCCACTGTCTTAGCAAAAAGGTGAAGCGAAAAATTGTCCCCACAATTCCAGCACCTCTGTGGTATCCGAATACCACCGAGGTGCTGGAATTGTGGGGACACAATGAGATTCAGCTCACAAGTCTGTTACTTCCTAAAATGTTCAGCTGAGAAATATAAAAGAGCAGAGAGAGCAGGAAACAGTAGCTTTAAGGCAAATTTGACTTCATACATTCTCTGCCGTTCTTCCTTTTGCACATCTTCAAAGAGCTGCTTGGTAAGGTTGTCCATTTTTTCTGTGAAAAGAGAATGCTCTTTGAGGTATGTCTACAAACCAATGTTTGTTTCATGTGATGTTCAAGAAAAATCATGATATTTACGACTAGTGGGACTTGGGATGACAGTGTACCTATCATTTCTTTATAAATTAGAAATATAAGTAAGGGGGGTTTCAAAATAGTAATTCTCACAAATTTATCATGTTGGGAAATATCGTTTCTTTTGCAGTAGTTTTATTGGTCTGAGTGAGATTTGGATATATTGACTTTGAAACAAGAAATATTGTTAATAAAAGTAAACAGAAAAACCGTTGGGAGTAAAGGTACCGATTTGTGATAGGGTTTCTCAATCTCAGACCTACTGGTGCTTCAGACTAGATAATTCTTTGCATAGAGCAGCCAACCTTGGACATGGAATGTTTAACAGCACCCACTAGAAGTCAGTTGTGCTCTGCACAGCTATGACAACCAAAACTGCCTCCAGATATTGCCAAAGGGAAACATATGCTCTTGGTCAAACACTCCTTATTTATGGTAACCAGCAAAATAACAGTGTCCACTTTGGGGGGGAAAAGTCACCACTGCATTAAAAAAAAAAAAAAAAGAGTTCCTCTCCTGCACTGCTGGTGGGAATGCAAACTAGTACAACCACTATGGAAAACTGTTTGGAGGTTCCTCAAACTGCTAAACATGGAGCTTCCCTATGACCCAGCAATCCCACTCCTAGGTCCCAAAAGACACAAAAACACTGATTCAAAAAGATACCTGTACCCCCATGTTTATTGCTGCTTTATTTACAATTGGAAAAACATGGAAGCAGCCCAAATGCCCAAAAGTAGATGACTGGATAAAAAAGATGTGGTACATATATACAATGGAATATTACTCAGCAACCAAAAAAGAGAAACACATGTCTTTTGCAGCAACTTGGATGGAACTGGAAAAGATCAGTGGCTTAGTGAGATAAGCCAGAAAGAGAAAGAAAAATACCGGATGGTTTCACTCATAGCAGGAGTATAATGGACCAGGTGGAAAATAACAAAAATAATGAACAACCATATACCAGAGACATTTTGTGGGGGTGGAGTGGGGAATGGGATCAAAAACGGGGTGGGGGGAGGGAAATGCACGGGGTTATGGTGATGACACATGGGTGACTTGGTGATGGGAAACCCGCGGGGATTACAATTGAGATGGAAAAAAATATATACAAAATGATGTAAAAATAAACTTTTGTAATTAAAAAAATAATAATGATAAAAAAAAAGGGGGCCGCCACACCTAGGAAACAACCTCTGGGGCGTAGGACATTCTGTGGTCATGACAGTTCACGTCCCCAACAAGGCTAGGGAGCCCTTAGAAATGCAGGGGAGGGACGGACACCTGCTCTTTGAATTCAACCTCATTCTGGAGCCCTGTCCCCCAGGGAAGGCCAGGATGAGGTGACATAGCAGTCTTCCAAGTCCATAGTTGCAAAAGCCAACCATTTAATAGTTTGCCTAATGCTAGATCAAATTTCCCTGAATCAAACAACTACTTTGGAATGGCATGAGTCATGCAGGAAATATGAGGGGAAATGCTTAAGCTTTAATTTAGACATCAGATCTAATTTCGTGTTTCTAGCCACTCACATACCTGACTTCTGTGGTGGTGCTTACCAGCTTGGGCTCTTTGGACATAGGCTAAGGGGGGCTCAAATATGACTTTTTTCTCAAAAGCAATCAGATTGTGTCCAAATTGGAATTTCAAAAAGGGGAAACAGGGTAAATGAAGGCTGGTGCGTTTCACAAAACACTGTGAGACCAAAGGATCCGCAGTTCACAAACACTGGGTTTGAAAGTTGTCAGGCACATTTTGGGAGGTGTAAAATCCAGCCAAGTGTATTAATGCAATCAAATATATCATTTCCAAATACACTTTTGGGAAATCAAAATTTCTTGTGGAAAATATCACTTAAAGTAGTTAGAAAAAAACAACAAACACCTGAGGAGTTGCTATAATAAAAAGGGGGATGTGGCCCTTCGTAAGCCAGGTGTAAGGCTTACTCAGAGACCTGAGGCTTCCTTCTGTCCATCACTGATGGACCTTGGGCTCCAAGGTCCACATCACCAGGCTGAGACTCCTCAGGACCTGGAACAGGTCATGCACCCTTAGTGCCCTCTGGATGGTCTTCCCTGTACCACGGGACAGACGTGGGATGCTTACTTCCTCCCAATGACATTTGCTTCTCCAAACCCTGACCTGAACCCCAGGGTACTATGTCCCTACAGAGCCTGGGGTATCCACCATGCATTGGGCCTGAAGTGTGTGCTGGATACCCAGGCCTGAACCTTCTGGTCCTGTGGCCTCAACATTGACGCTTAAGGAAGAGATCTTGGACAAAGGAGCGTCCAGATTTAAACTATCAGGTCAAGGACCACTGGGCTTACGTGCCTGTTGCCTTTGTGGGAATTTAGTAAATGCCTGAATTTGGTTTTGATTTGGAATGCTACATATAGATAAAGCTGGGCTAAGGGTCATGGTCCACAGCCCAAAGGAAAATGTTAGAAGTTATTTTGAGGATCAGAATCAAACACACTAGGGATTCTGTGACCCCAGATCTAAGAGGGCTCTTCTGCAGGGCTACGACAGTGGCTGAGGATGGGGCTGCCACTTAGACCAAGTAACTCAGACAGATCCAAAATCTGACTGCAAATCCTTGGCAAGCAACAAATATCATCCTAACATGACCTTGATTGTGTATCAGGTGCATCACAAAGGTTTTTAAAAAATATAGACATCTTTTTAAGACAATACAGGTGTGCCCCTGCAGATGCCACATAGCCCTCCATCACTGATGAGTAGCTCTAGGCTTATGGCCCAACCATGCCCCAGGAGGGTCTCAGAGGGGACTGCTGTGCTGTCTGACAAAAGATGGAAATAAAACAGAAGACTCTACAGGGTAAAGTTACCACAAATTAGTGATTCATTGTGGAGCAAAAGTAAATGCCAGTGTTCTTGATCCTAAAACTTGAATCTAGCAAATGACTAGTCAGGGGAGCATAAGAATGCAGGTATCAGCGCCGTGGGCTTTACCTTTCAGTTCTTCAGTCTTCTCTTGAAGCTTCAGCTGTACTTGTTCCTTTTCTTTCTCCAGCTCTGAATTATGCTTCTGTAGCTTTGCCAACTTCTAGAAAGGGAAAGAAAAAATCTTTGAAAAGCTCACCTCAAGTTTTGACACCATTGCTTTTGTTGACAGAAAGCTGTGTATTTGTGAACGAGTATTTTGGGGTCTCCTCTCCCATACATGGGTAACAGCCAACACCTGCCCACGCTGCATCTAGCTCACAGACAAGGGTTCCTGTGACTTCTGGCAGATGCTGAGCCCAGAAGCAGCTGAAATCAAGGAGAATGAGCCAAATCCAAGTTCTCAGGCAAGGAAACTCTTCTCTTCTTGAGATTCTCAACACAGGGTATTTAACTATTTAATATGAAGTAGATGCTTTATGCTGGAAGTGGGTTCACAGTTTAGGAGTGTTATGACTTAGAGAGGATGAGTGATCAGACAGAACTCTATTATTTTAGCTTCTCTTGGTGAAGTGATGACTCTTGGTGACTGACTCTTGGTGGGTGACTAGCGAAGTCTAAGCTGCTTAGTGTAATGGGCACCAGGCCATGGGGAAGGCAAAGGGATGGCCCTGGGTTCCAGGCTGGCTCAACCCTGGGTATAGTAGGACTTTGGAAGGTTACGAGAATGGATAGCAATAAAGACTATCCCCTTGCAAAAGGAACCTCTTACACTGCAGGTGGGAATGCAAACTGGTCCAGTCATGATGGAAAGCTGTGTGGAGGTTCCTCGGAACACTAAAAATGGAGCTGTCATATGACTCAGAGATTCCACTCCTAGGAATCTATCCAAAGGACACAAAGACACTTATTCAAAAGGAAACCTATGTTTACTGCTGCACTATTTATAATGACCAAGATAAGCAAATAACTCAAAACAGAGGACTGGAGTATTACTCAGCAATCAAGAAAGAAAAATTCATATTATTTACAGCAACATGGATGGAGTTGGAAGGGATCATTCTAAGTGAAATAAGTCAGATGGAAAAAGAAATATCAGATGATCTCACTTACATAGGGAGTATAGGGAAAAAGCTAACAAAAGGTCAAGATAAAGACAAAACTAGCAAGCTGACCATAGATCTGAAGATACAGCAGGGGAGGGGCAGGAGAAGGGGTCAAAATAGAGCAATGGGACTGTGGTGATGGCTCATATGTGCTTTGGTAGTAGGAGAAGAACAGGGCTACACCTGAGAGGAAAAAAACAAATACTGTCCCCAAATTAAGAATGATGGAAAAAATAAAATTAAAAAATAAAAATGTCTCATAATGACAAATAAATAAAGACCATCGCTAAGAAAGCTGTTCATTTTTGTGCAGGTGAATTTTGATATGGAAAGGTCTAAACTACTTCATTGAACAATTTTATTTTTAAGGCAGCTCTGTTTCTTTTTGCTGTTTCAGTAAGTTCCCCAAAGTCACCCAGTCAATAGTAAAGACAGCATTTGAGCCTTATTTTGATATCGACTGCTCTTTTTACTGCATCACAGAGATGTAAACCTGCCCCACGCTTTGCACTGCTATTCCGGGTAAATTGCTGCCAGTCATACACCAGACGGAGAAGCCATAGGGGACAACGGATATCCTGGAAGAGAGGGAAGCGTCTAGCCAGGGCGCCTTCTGAGGCTTTTCATCATTTCACAAAAGTCGAAAGGGAGAGGGATCCCTATATTGCCATTCTCGAAGCATTAGCCTCCTTATCTTCCTGCAGACTCTGGATTGCTTACCTCTCCTCCAAAAAGTAGGCTCCCTCTGGTGACAGCCAATATCAAAATCTGACTTGCTCTGCAGAACTCTGCTTTGCATGGCATTGTTGCACAGCAACCACAGAAAGACTCACAACACATTTCCACAGTCACAAGACAGTATCTGACCTCTTCTACCGCGGCCTTGTATGTCTTCCCCTTCTCTTCATAATTGTGCCTGTGGGTAGCGGCTCTGTCCAGTTCTGATTCCAGTTTCTGAATCTTCTCTGTGTCACCTGCCCGTAGAGCAGCCAGACTAGTCAGCTTCTCCACCAGTCCGTGGTTCTCTTTGTTCTAGAGAAAAGAAACAGATGCTTAGTGGTTTATCCAAAATAAAGACATTCCATTTCTTTCTAATTGTCTTTTTTTTTTTTAACATTTATTTATTTATGTGTACAGAGGTGCAGGGATGGTGAGGGGCTTCACCAGAGACAGAGTGGGGAGCAGAACAGGCAGATGTACTGAAGTACACTGCTGAGGGGAGCAGCGGGTAGGTCAGGCAAGGTCTGCTGTGCCATATGGGTCACCTCCAGGGCTGAGAATCTCACTGAAGAGGCTGAGGCCAGCTTGCAGTGCATCCTAATGCATTGTGCCATCAGGGAGGGCCTCCTTCTCATTATCTTTAAGAGGGCATCTAAGTTTACACAGGTCATGCTTTTCACTCAATGGTATGCATTAGTGTCTTTACCCCAGTGACACTACTGAAGCAGCTCTGGCCAGGTGAATTGGTGGTGGCTCTGTCAGCATGGGCCGGTCCTGTGCTAGACTCCTGAATAATCCAAATGCTGTGAACTGAACTGCGTACCTGGTTTCTCTTTTCATCTTCTTTTGGTGACACCCTAACCCCTCGTACCTTGGAACATGGTGGTATGGTGGAGATAGGGTCTTCAGAGACATGAATGAAGTAAAATGATTAGTGCTAATCCTGTTATTTTTCTGCACTCTGAGGGGACACTGCATCAAAAACTCAGGACTATCTGCTTATATGTTCACCCATTCCTTACGGACCTCTGTTGCATAGCTGAGGTTACATTTCTAGTTCATTTAGGATTATCTCAGCACTATATGAGACAGGCGTAGGATCCAGACACTGTATATTCCAGAATCTTCTCCCCATGGCTAAGAACATGTGGGTTTATTTTCCTGCCAGCGGGAGTCTTCCCAAATCAAGCAGGTCTGCAGAGACTGTATAGTCCTCTGGGTGAATTAGAAAAACAGCACTACTGTTTTCCTGAGCCTACACAGCGTTGGGGGAGCACAGCTTGCATCTGAATACATCTCTGTACAAATTAAGGAAAGGCAACTGGGCTTGAAGGTAGCACAGTTTTACACCAGGGTATGGGACTGGGCACGAAGCTGGCCTGCTTCTCAGCCCCACCTGCCCTGTTGGGCAGCTGCCCACGTTCCACACGGTCAGTTGCAGTGGCCCTTTACAGCGCGCTGCTGTTCTCTGACCCAGGTCATCCATGGACATTTTTTGAAGCTCCTAACATGGCCGAAGTCTTAAAGCATAGCCCAAAACTGTGCCGATGAAAAACAAATCTATTAGAAAACATAAATGTGAAAATGCATTATCACTACCTACCTGATCTTCCAGTTTTTTCTGCAAATGCTGGACCCTGTAAGTAAGCTGAATGTTGAGCACGAATCGCCGGATGCTCTGGAATCTGCGTCTGGCCAGCCAGGCCCGGGCGTATTTCTGAAGGATCACAGCCTTGTGCTCCTCCAGCATCTTTAAAATAAGATTTTGTGAAATGTAAACTGGATCTCCATTGTTTCATCAACTCTGCCAATGTCGGGAGGTGCAGCTGCCAACCCACAGGGCCGCATTATACCTACACTTGAAATAATAATCAAACCCTGTCTGTAGCAGACAGGAGGGAAGAGTCATGATCACGTCAGAACTCCCCACTCTAGATCGAGGAAGGACTTTGGCAGAGAAGCTGTCTCTCCACTATGGGTGAAAACTAGCAGGAGCCCTGGGAAACACATGCTCCAAAAAGCCTGCAGTCCCAGCGCACCTTCCGATACCTCCTCCTCGCCAGGAATCCTCGTGTGTAGGCCTGGATGGTGATGGTGGCCACCCGGATCAGCTGGTACAAATTGCGAACCAGATATCGCCGACAGTACTTCTGAAGGACGATTGCTGCCCAGGCTTCTTTTAGGGCTGTGGCGGTAATGGCTTTTCTTGGTGGAAAAGAATAATGGAGTAAATCTGCTAGCCACAGGGTGCTGGCCTCCACTGGAGCCCCAAAATGTGCAACACTTCTCTACGAGGGTACACTCATATGTTTTGCAAATGCTCACATTAGACTGTGTAAGAGATTTGGGTCAGTCACCCTTACCTCGCCTTTCCTCCTGATTTGAACATGGGTCCCTTGCAGGGACCACATGGACACTCTCTCTCCTTCTATTCAAGCCAACCAACCCCAGAGGGAGCCTGTGACAACAGCAGCCTGTTGAGGCACTGCACATGTCCACCCCTCTATCATGAATTCTGCTGGGAAGTCACAGGGAGGCTCTAGATGAGGGTTAGGAAAACTGATATGGGAGCAAAATCTGGCTTGCACTTTGCCACCACTAAGGAGTGCCCCACCTATCACATATTGCCCAAGGCTGCATACATGCTACAATAGCAGAGCTGCATAGGGAGGGAGAGGCAGGAGGGAGAGGCAGGAAGGAGCTGACCAAAAGGATTTAACCCTACAGAAAATGCCTGTCTTGGCCCTCCCTGGTGGCACAACGGGTTAAGGTGCAGCACTGTGAGTGAGCCACAGCTGCTTCAGTACAAGTTCAATCCCTGGCCCCAGAGGTGACCACATGGTGCAGCAGACCTCTCCTGTCTTGCCTGCTGCTCTGTTGACCTGTGTGTTCTGCTCCTCACTCTGTCTCTGGTGAATCCCCTCACCTTCAGCACCTCTGGCTGGTACCCCAGTTCTGTATGCATAAATAAATAAATCTGTTTTTTAAAATGCCTGTCAACTTTTGTCTAAAAGGAGGAGGTGGGAAGACAAAGTGATGCCTGAGTTTACAGCCTCAGGGTGCAGACATAAGCCTAAGTGGTGGAGGGTGGGAAGAGGAGATACTAAGTTCATCTGTAAGCAGGATCTTATAGAATTACATTCTGCTTGGGAAGACATATGAGCTAACTCTTGATGGAAAAGGAGGATTTCTGTAGACAGGATGGTTGGAAAAGTCATTTCAGGCTGAGGGGCCAGCAAAGGCAAGGAATGCCTGAAATGTTCAGAAGGAGAGAATCTGTCTGGGATTGCTAGAAGGTCTGCTGCACCATGTGGGTCTCAGAATATTAGTAGTCAATGAGATAGAAAAATAGATTTTTTAAAATGTATTATTCAGAAAGTTTATTATTGAATAGCTTCTACTTAAGGGCCTCTGTGCTAGGTTCTCAGAATGGATGTGGTCCCTGTGCTCATAGAGCCTCCATTCATATGAATGCATCCCAGGTACAGGGGCCTTGAATACTGTGTCAATGACAAAGTACCCTTCTCTAGCAACAGAGGCCACAGAGGCATTAAAGGCAGGTGCAGGGCCTTGTTTTAAGAAGATAGGAGAGAAAGGCAGCAGGAGTAAAAATGTACAATGTTGGGGAGGGGTGAAGGCAGCGATGCTGACTCCCCCTCTAGGGCAGGGCAGTGGCATGGGACCAAGGAACAGACACAGAGGCAAAGGCAGAGGTGGGCCGGGGGTGCAGAATTGTCAGGCCAAGGGCCATTACCACTTGGAAAGGGAGCATCAGGTTGGAAAATAAAAAAACTTGGGGTTTCCTGCTTTGGAGTCTGGTGTCATGAAGCAAACCCAGAGGCATGGAAGGCAAGCTGGGTCACATGTGCGTCTGAGAAGACCTCCTGGGAGAGCAGGGTGGAGTATCAAGTCCAGTTTGGGCCCAAGGAGATGAAGACTGTGATGTCCCAATCATGTGGAGAACCCCAGATGCTACCAGGAGTCAGGACCCAGCTCAGGAACAGGTTGGACTCAGCCCCACAGTATCACCCTAAAAGTCTGCATTCTCAACTACTTTATTTACCCCCTGGGAGTCACGTTGGTAGCTGAGCCCTGAGAGTCCTGTGGCTGCTTTGTTTCAGGGTGGTGCTCTGGACCCCTGATGATGGTCTGCCCTCCATCTTCATCGGAAGGCTGGTCTGTGGTGGCTCAAGGCTGCTTCATTTAGGGTGCTTCACTCATCATGTTGGGCATTTTCAATACCCATAGGAAAGGGGCCCTATCCCTCTACCTGGTCTCACTGGGAAATGCTGACTCTCTTCAATACCCTAATGGGGGGTGGGGTGGGGGTCTTCTCTTCATGGTCCTGCTGTCACCTCTGCCACATGAGGACAGCCCTACCTGGGTAGGAAAGCCCAGGGTAAGAAAGACCCCTCTCACCTCAAGGCTGTGGTGACTAAAGAGGACCCACCCACCCGCACCCTAGCTTCCAGGAGAGAGGCCCTTTGCCCAAGCAGGCCCTGCCCGCATGGAGGTGATCAGCAGAGAAAGCTATTCAAGTCCAGCTGTCTCCTAGGTTCCCACATACCTCACGGTTTTCTGACCCCGGAAGTACTGCTGGATGATCAAGGCAGCTTGTCTTTCTCGGAGGAATTTCTTCCTCTGCAGCCAGCCTCGGATGTGCTTTTGAATCACAATACAACCCTGCCTCAGTTTATCCAAGCGGAGTTTCTCTAAATAAGCCACTTGCCCTGCTCTGAAGAAAATTTTGGTTTTACCAAACTGGTACTGATTAGAATCCTAGAAGAAAAAAACAATATAATCAGAAATAAAATCTTTCAGGTTTTCTGTACTACCTGGATAAGAGGTGTAGAGACACAAAGACACTAAAAATGTTATTTTGACTATCTGTTCTCTCACATAAAGCAGAAAATTTCTGATCATGCCTACAAATTTACATTTTGATTTGTTTGTTTAAAGGCACTTTGGAGGAAGAAATGGACATGTGGTGGCAGTGTCTATCTTTAGGACCAAAGGGTGTTTGTTGGGGTTGGTGGGGAGCTTTAGCCTCTTGAAGTGGTTTCCACAAGAGAGATGAGGGACCTAGAAAGGTTTGGTTTCTCCCTTGGCCATTATAACTCCTTCCCATTATAATTCATCCATTAATTCAACAATAATCTCAGCTGCTCTGAGGTTTGGACCCTCAGGTTCGTGACTGTCTCAGGTGGTGTGGGATATAACCCTCAGAAGTCCCCTACGTTGTGAACAAAGCAGACTAGTGTGGGGTGGCTTGGGTGCAAAGTTGGGTGCCTGAAGGAGACTGCTCTCCAGAGAAGAGATTTGTGCTCTTATCTCCTCAGCACACAAATGCTCAGGACACATTATCTTTCTCTTAGGCATTTGTGACAGTTAATGCTAAGACAGAGCAAGATGAGGAAACAGGCTTGGGAGGCACACCCTTGGGAAGGGTCCTCGATTCCTGGAGGTGAGGGAGACCAACCTGGATGAGCCTGTGGAGAACCACTTTGCACACTTCCTTTTTATCACTGAACTCAAGCTCCTGCTTGGTCATGAGGACACCATAGCGACAGTAGAATTCGATGTACGTCCACCTGGAAAGGGCAGAGTAGTATGTGGGGAGATGCCCCAGAGGAAATGTCTGTGGGTCCCAGCTGACCCCTATGGTTGGTTGGTGGGCTAGGTGGAGGTAGAGTCTTTCCTGGGAATAATGGTGTTGACCTCTGACCAAAGTCTCCCTGCAACAGCATGCAAAGCACAGCCTGGGACTGTGGGAGCTCAGCTCCCACGTGTGACCTCTCCCTTCTACTTTCACTCCCTTTCCTGAGAGCACCAGGGAGGCGGGACAGCTCTCAGCAGCAGCAGGGGTGGGCACTGGGCCTCTGTCCAGCACTCTGCCTGTTTATCCCTCCTCTGGCCTGCCCGCAGCACAGTGGGGAAAACCCTGGGTGCATGTGACAAAGCATCTGAGAAAAAAGTGGCAGCCTCTCCCCTGGACCTCAACACAGACCTGAAGTTGGGTGCTTATCCTCTAAAACATACCTGGAAGGGTAGCTCTGTGCACTAATGCGAATTGTTTCTAAGACTCCACAGGCTCGGAGCTGCTGGACGATTCTTTTGGAGTCAAACCTTAAAAGATGAGTTTATAATGAGTTAAGCCACCCTCGATAAATACACCAGTAAGTAGTGTGGCCACCTGCCGACACCGTGAGTGCCTCGGGAGGGAGCTGTAGTCCTACATGAGGCAGCCAGCAGACTTAATAATATCTGCTGCATGGCAAGTGAAAATAACACCTCTGTGAAACAGTTTAGACAGTGAAGCTGAGCACACAAGAAAGGAGGAGTTGATTCTGGGGGAGGCAATGGGAGAAGGCTTTGTGGGGGAAACGGCCTTTGGATTGCACTTTCAGAGACACCCAGAGCAGAAGGCATATTTAAGCTCATCTTGTCTACTTCTACTGCCCATGTGCTTCTTGAGGTCCCATCACAGCATACCCTGCAGTTGATCTGCACTGAGGTGTGACACCCGCGATCCAGACACCTTCACCACCTGTATGGCCAGACATGTTGTAGCTTGAATCTGCTAAAAGGGGGCTCTCCAAACTACTGCCCATGGGAGTCCCAGAGAAGGAGCCTAATGTTTATACCATGCTTAAGGACAAAGCTTCTGGCCCTCAACAGCCTTCCTCCTACAAACACAACTTTCTTATAATCAAGGAGAATATTCTGGATTTCTGGGGTGTGCAAACTTTCGTTATCAACTATTCTTTTAGATCAACCCATCTGCTAAATCCTGGAGATGAAATGGCTTAGTGAGAGGGGTTTTGTGGATATGATATGGTCAAGGGCAGGGATGTTCTGAATTATTCAGTCTCAGAAACAATCACGTTCAAGATGATTTTAAGCACTGCTCTATAATGGCAGAAGCAGCTACTCGGTGTTGTTCCTCACACCTGCATAAGAACACTTACTCAAAGGGTAATTTCGCATCATTTGGCTTGATGCAACGGACGTAATGGGGAGTGGTCGCGTTGAGGGTCTCCATGAGCAAGTACAGGGAGCTGCGGAACTAGGAGGCAAGGGCAGATAATAAATGTCATGCAGAAGTGAAATACTCCTGTCCAGGTAAAAACAAGACCCAACCTTGCTAAGGGAAAAGTTAATTTCATGCATAAATACTTACTATGAATGGTTTCAATTCATGACTGTGTCTATCAGCATGTCCTACTGTTTTGGGTGGACTTCTGCTCTGTCTAGTGTTCACAAAGAACAGGTTCTTAGTAAATAAATCATGTTATTGCGCAAATATGCAGTTTGCTCATGTGTGTGTGGCCCTGGAGGTGAGGTCTGATGACAATGGGCTGTGCTTATTTATTTATTTATTTATTTATTTATTTATTTGCAACTGTATGAATACTGGATTTAAAGCAGCTCAGTGTTCCCATCCAGGGAACACACACAGGTCTAACTGGATGGCAAAGGGGCCTACCAGTGATTCAAACTCAGGGGTGGGTTGGGAAGCAGCTTGTCTTTGTTCCTGGGCCCTTTATCCTCACATTTTCTTGGTACCTTACTCCCCACTGTGGTCCGGAAGTGCTTGCTATTTGGCTTCATGACTTGCTTTGCAGATTTAACAGTTATCATTGGTCCAAAGGGGGAAGAAGGAGCTGGATTTTCTTGAAAAAAATTGGCACAGAGATGAAACTGGAAGGAACAGAAAACATTTTGATGTCTCAAAGTATTCACCCCAGATCTCAAATGGTTCAGGTCAAATGTAGCTTTTTTCCTAGGAAAGTGGGCAGAGAGGAAAACTGCCAATGTCTCCCTGTGGGTCTCAAAGTGTCAGAAAAGTGGATTCTTCCTGCTTCTGTGCTGTGGCTCATGTGCTTTCTTCATCTGGACTCCCCTCCCTCCTAGCCCACAATCTCACCCCTCCAGATTTAAGCCCTTCCCATCATTCCACCTTCCAGATAAAGGTTAGAAAAAAAAAAATCATGCCTCAGAAAGAATTAATCTGCTTCCTCTGAACTCCCTTAATCTTTTATTTGCAGTTCTTTTATGACACCCAGCACATTCTACCTTGCATCAATTATTTCTTCAAATATCTCATCTTCTTTCTGTGAAGCTGACTAAAAAATCAAGGTATAAAAATTGTAAAGCCAACAATATCCAGAGAGAGTGAAAAGGAGCGTGTGCATAGCTGCCAAATACATAGCAACCTGGATCTATATGTACGTACATCCCCCCACTAAGCAGCATCCTCACATGGAATTGAGGAGCTTGGAGGAAACAGCAACAAAACCTTACAGGAATCAGCAAATCAGAACCCCAAAGGACAATCTAGTGGTACACTGACACACAGGCATTGCTTCCTTTGCATGCTTTTCTTTGCCTTGCTAAAGAATCTTAATAGTTTACTTGTGGGAGGCAGCCCTGCGTTCTCTAAGCTTTGTACTTTCTCCCTACCATGGGTTCACCTACATGGTTCACCTGGCTCTCAGATTCTGCCAAAACTTGTTCTGCTCTCCACCCTGTCTCTGGTGAATCCTCTCATCCCCACACCTCTGACTTAAACCCCAGTTTTATACAAAAAATAAAAACCTTAAAAATAAATAAATAAAGGCTCATTTTCATTTGCAAACTGAGCTCTGCCTTATTATTGGGTTATGTGCTTACAGTGAAGCACATATATTTTTCTTGTAAGTCAGACAGGGAGAATCCTTACTGCACCCTGTGTGTCCCACTGGAGTGAATGGATGTGACATGTTTACACCCCTGACAGCAGGTGTGCTCAGTTGGGAGATTCATCTAGATTTCCACAACATGACATTTTCCAGACTTGACCCCAGGGAAAGTCTGGGAGTGAACAGTTGACAAACTTGGCGAATTCTATACACAAGATACAGGCCATTTACACATTAAATTCTATCATATGTTTGTTTTAATAACATGTCAGGGCTGATTTATTTATGATCATTAATGGAAATGCTCATCCTTATTTGGGAAAACTGTCAAAATAGCTGAACAAAACTCTGGGATCTTCTCAAAGGAGGACAATAAGTACAACCAAATCTTCAAAAACATGTAGGCTCAGGTATAAACTATCTCTTTTTCAGTTTTTAAAAAAGAGATAATTAAAGAAGAAAAGAAAAAGGTAAAAGCTATTCTTCACTGATACTCCTTTTCACGTAGAGCTGGGGTTCAAGGAGCGATGGTAAGCAGCCTCCCACCCCCATGGCCCCAAATAGCTCCTCGACTTGCTCTGATCCTCCCAGCACCTGGCACCACCCACCACTGCCCGTTGACACAGTCCAGATATGCTGCTCCCTCTAGAATGCTCTGAGGCAGACAGCTGTCTGCTTGGTTCACTGCTAATCTAGACTCTGGGATGTTTCTACATAGATGTGAATCAAAAAATAAAATGTAAATGATCATTCTTTAAATAATTATATTCACTGTTTTCTTCTGTCATCTGCACACTTAGGCTCTGATTTTTATATAGTCGAGATGTGCATGCTTTTAGAAGTTAGAAACATATTTCAGTACTAATTCTAGTTATCTTTTCTGTACTTATGAGCTACATTTGCCACTCTGAGGCAGTTAACACATATATACTTCTTACTCTCTCTTGATTCCATTTAGATCCATGTCAAGCACATAATGAATAATATTTATTACCCCATAAGACTATACACACCTTACTTTCTCTCAAGATTTCAATCAGCATGTCATAGACGGTGTCTCTATTCTTCTCAAGGAAACCTTCACATTTATATTCTACCTATGCAGACAAAGGAATTAATTATTTCCAAGGAGGCAAAAGCAGATAGTACCTAAGTGGTACAAATTTATTTTCTGCGAAAGATCAACAAAGGGGCATAAAGTTAATCTTCCAAAAAGAGCTTCAGTGTCCATTACAGTTACCCACTGCAGGGAGCTCACATCCGAGGGACCCAAGGGAAGGAGCCAGGTGAGATTTCTCTCCAGCTGTCCATCACTCCACACTCACCTGTCCCTCTGACCACAGGTGACCAGTCACTCCCTGAGCTGTGTACCTTCAATGAACCTGACTTAGAGCTCACTTTACCCTTATTTTAAGCCAGTAAGTGGAGGGGAAAGTTCAGTGGTGTCCTTTTGGTTTAAACAGAATGTTTTCCTAACTTAGTATTAAGGGAAAGGGGAAAACAAACAAACAAAAAAACACCAACAAAGCCTGACCAGCTGCCTGTAAATGCCACGTTCACAGGCCCAAAAGCCCAAGAGTCAGGTCAGAGTGGCTCCATGTTTGCTTTTCTTGAGTCTGGCTTAGAGAATCCCCCCATAAAGCTCATTCTGAGTCATGAGACTACTCAAGCCTGTCCACCAACACATCCGGGGGACTGCCTAAACATTCAAGCCCCAGAAGTTTGTGCCTCAGGGAATATACTTTACATGTGATATATATTCTTCACAAGTTGAAAAATTACGTGAAAAAAGAGTTTAATCAATTTTGAGGAAACAAGGTCTTGGGGGGTGCTGGATCTAGAGGCAGAGATTAGGGTTGTCCTGGCAAGCACGCTGGCCCCTTGGTCAGAGTTTCCTTATTGTGCAGTTTGGGGTAAGAACCAGGAATGGGGTCTGTCTGTGAACTCTGTCTTGTGAATAAGGTGCCTCAACCGCTGAATGAATTCTTCTAGACTAGCGGTATGAACCACTGATATAAATCTAGTATAAATGGTTGAAGGGTAACAAATGCAGAGGGGACCATCTGTGAGGGCAGCTGAATACCTCTGCTGGGAGTGCTGGACACTTGCTACATTAAGCATAGGTACCTCACTTCAAAGGATTTTATTTCTTTGGCAAACTAGGCTGAAACCCCAAGCTAGTCTTATGTGGTTTCTTCCCACCAATCTGTAGTCCACCCAAATATTGCATTACTGATTCTTTTAAGAGGGACTTCTTAAAAGAGTCAGCTGAGGGAATTTAATATGCAAAAACTCTGCATAGTGGAATTTTTTGAAATGAATTCCATATGTGCTTTGTATGAAGTCTGATCTATACAGCACCATTCATTTCAAGTGCTTCTTTTCAGGAATCATTCTGAAAAATCCCCAGCACTGAAAGGTTCTCACATGATCAGCCCTCTAGACTGTAAGGTTAGTTCAGCTTCTCACTCCTGTCCCCTCAGTCACTGAGGCATGTCTGAGGGACTTGGTCTGCAGTACCAGTCTAAGAAAAGTAAGTGGAGGCTCTTCTCCAGACACTGGCTAATTTACTATGGTGACCCCCAGTGGGGCAATGTTCTTCATAAAGAAGGTGAGAACCTATGGTGGGGGCCAATAGCTATGGTGATTTCTCATTTTGTTCCTTCTAGCATCTAAGCTTTCTGTAGTGTGATTTTTTAATAATATTTTCTGTTTATTAAAGTCATATTTGTCCTATAAAAAGTAGGAAACACAAAGAAGACAATAAAGGTCACCTAGAAAACCTAGGCCTCCTGAGTCAACCTATGTTACCATAAGAAAAGGTATATTATAACATAATAACAATGACAACCTTAAAGGAGAGCTTTCCTAATAGGAAACAATTGTGCTGTCTTGATTACTGCAATTTCATAGACAATATAAGCTGTGACAGCTTAATAATTTACAATATACCCCAAAATTAGAAATGAGATCCAAAAGCAGAACATTAATCTTTAAAGTAGTACAATTCAAACTCATATATTCTGTGAGTAAAAAACACATAAAAATGGCTAAGCACACACGTTTCCTTCATCAAAGCTATACATGAAGTGTGATCTCAATCTTCCTGGAAATCCCTGACTAGCCTGCTACTTTGGAAAACCACCTACTTCAGACCTTCCCAATACCTTGTCAGCAAAGTGCTGGATGACAAAGGATGTGTTTGACATTTTGGGTTTTTCAAACAAAGAGTTCTTGTTGACAAAATTATTATATAGTTTTTGAAGCCAGTTTTCATCGGTTCCATGTGGCAACTGCAAAGGAAAAGCAAACTACATCACAGAGAGCAAAGATTATAAGAGGTGAGAAAAGCATGAACTGTAAAACGCCAAGGTGACCTGGAGCCTCAGTGACGTGGCTCCTGCCCAGATGTCTGTTTATAAGGCAGCTCCAGGCGTAAGCCCATCCCAGATCTTAACTGTGGTTAGAGTGATATGCTAGTGGACCTACCAGCGCCTTCTGAGAAGAACAAAATGTCATCAATTTAAAGAAAAAGGTCCTATAAAGACTTAAGAATGAAGACTTTCACTTCTGAGATATTGAGAATATTCTTTCTGCCCAAAGACACTGAACAGATCAGGGTATAATCACACAATGTCATTACATGGACATGACCTTTACTCTCACTTGAATGGAGAGAACATTAGCATCCAAATGGAGTCCTTCCTGGCCAACCTCAAGAAAATAGGTTTTTTTGTTTTACTCCCTAGTTATTAATTAAGTTATATTAATAAATTTCATTCCTGAAATTGGCTTTGAGTCTATTGACTCTATTCTGTTCAAATTCTATTCCCTGTGTCGAAATGGCTCCTGAACAGTCTGTGACAAATGGGTACAATGTTTCCTACAGGTTCCTGTGGCCTCTGCACCTGAAACCTAGTGGATTGTTCTGGAATGCTCAGCCTAGACTCCTGTCCTTTAAACTTAGGTCACCATAGGAGTTGAAGCCAGGTGGTATCAGAAAGCGTAATCTGTGAGAAGAACCACACAAGGGATAAAACACCATTAAATCTTCGGGCCCTCCCTGGTAACACAACAGGTTAGGGCGCAGCACTGCAAGCTGGCTGCAGCTGCTTCATTTCAGGTTCCATCCCCGGCTCTGGAGCTGACCCATATGGTGCAACAGACTTCTCTTGATCCACCTGCTGCTTCCCTCACTAGTGTACTTTGTCGATCTGCCTCTTCTGCTCCCCACTCTGTCTCTGGTGAATCCTCTCTCTGGCCTATACCCCAGTTCTGAATGCATAAGTAAAATAAATCTTTTTAAAAAATAAAATATTAAAAAAACAACACTGTTAAATCTTCCACATTATCATCTTTTTTGTACAAATGCATATCTGAAAAGGAAACAAAATCTATGTTTAAATAAGAAAACACAACCTTTGGACCAAAACAATTCCTGGAAATTATATTCCCTGTGGTCCCAAGAGGGACTCTTCCAAGGCTGACTCATTTTAAAATTGATCCTTTCAGGGGAAAATAATAATAGCGAAACCCCTAGTAGAATACTAATTTTCAGCTACACCTCCTGATAGATGACACATAAGAACCAGGACGTGAAAGAAATCTCCATTCGTAATAGTCATTAGTAAATGGTGCAGCGTCACCCACTGTTTCAATGTCCACTCTGTATAAACCTAGGGACAATCCCCAAGGGCGAATGCTTCCTGGACATGACCCCGAGGTCATGCACATTATCCTAAAGTGGGTGACACATGGTAAGGATGGTAGGTATGCCTGACTCTCTGAAGTTCCTGCTGTTCTAGCATTAAATGTGTAAACTAACAGGTACATTTAAAAAACACATTTTGTGACATCTGTTACTACTAAGAAGTTGGAAAAGAATGCAATCATTTTTTGAAAAGTTACCAAACATTCTTCATCCAGTAAGTCCAAAATGCCCATTTTTGCTTCGATCAGGTCAATAACTGGTTGGTTGTCATAAAAATCTATCAGTGTCCAAGGGATATCTTCCTTCATGTATTCTTCTTGTTCAAGTTTAAAGACATGCTAAGAAATTAGATGTTAGCATAAAAAGTAAAAGAACGTATCAAAGTTTGCTTCCAAAGAAGCAAAATATGTATTTCAAAAATATAGCTAGGTGACTGATTTAGACAGCTTATGGAAGAATCCCCTGGCCCAGGGTCAATCCCCCTGAGTGTCTAAGGTGGGTCTAGCTGTCATCCTCCCAGCTGGTCGGAGTGGGACCCCAGGTCCTTTCACCTCCAGCACCTCACACTCAAGCTGTCCAGAGCCTCTCCCTGCTCACAGCCACTATCTAAGGGAGATGAAGCCTCTGGCAACGGGATCAGCCTGAGAAGAACGCTGACTGTGGGCTCCATGTTAGAAGGCAACAGCCTGGAGAGCTGTGCTCAACACTTGTTTGAGTTATCGGAGAGGGTAATAGGGAGGCTTCACAGAGAACTGGCTCAGGCTCATCCTGAGGGTAGGGGTGGAATGGTAGCAAGGACAGGGCCCCCCACACCCCATAGGAGAATCAAGGGGGAGCAGCACAGGAGAACAATAGGTGCAAGATAGAAGAAAGGTGGCAAGGATGTAGAACCATCAGGAAACAAAATCATTTGGTCTGGCGCATAGGAGCTGTAGATGAAATAAGATGAGAAGGTGCTATTACAAGACCAGGCCGCAAGGTGGTGCAGTGGCCTAGCCCTGCTACCTGCCTAATGGACTATTTCAAAGGGAAGACAGGTACTCTGACTCCATGTTGAGGTACGCACAGGAACTAGTTTCTAGAAGACCTAGTTTCAAGAAGGCAGAAAACTCACTTACCAGGTTGAACTGTTGCTGCAGTTTTTCATTAGCATAATTGATGCAAAACTGTTCAAAGCTGTTCACATCGAAGGTTTCAAAACTGAAATACAGTTTAAACAGGTTAAAATATAACTTGAAGGTCACACACAGCATTTATAGGTAGTTATTCTTTGACAAACTTCACAATGTATTAACTTGATTTTCCACAAATTTGAAAAATATTTCAAGCTTCTGGTTTTAACATCATGGCAGTCCATTTTTCATGAAACATAGCTTTCCAGATTGCCCCTGAAGGAAGCTGGTATCCAAAACCCCTACCAGGAGGCAGGCACTGAAAAAGGCAAACAGTGGCACCTACATCACCACTTTATAAATGAGGAAATAGGGCCAAGAGGTCAAGAAACTTGCGTGAGGTCACACACCTGCTGTTAGACCAGGTTGTAGGGTATCTGCCTTTAACACCCACCTATTGTGATAAAGCAATGTGCTGTTTCCTACACCCCCACACTTAGCCTGTTGAAATAAGGCAGCAGTTTGTCCCCCACCGCATGGTGTTTCCATCGGGCAAGGTCATTTAGTGTCCAGAACCCAGCAGGGCCCCTGCCTCTGATTTCAGGCGTTTAGTAGCTGTCTCTACAGGACTTGCCACTCCAGAGCTGGGGGAGTCACAGGTGACAGAATGGGAAGCAGCTGGAGAGAGCACATGTGAGGCCATGGTACAGGGCAAAGGGACTGTCCCTTGAGCAGCACCCACTGTGGTCATAGATTGGAGCAGATCAGGATGCTAGGTTGCCCAGTTCTTCAGACAAGCAGAAACCTGGGCTTTGATGTGAATGACCCACTCTGTAAAATGTGTCATGGGGTGCGCAGGGAGCACCCACTGTTTCTCACCACCTGTCCTGACAAGCACTCTGTGTGGAGGGAACTTGCTGAATGCCTAGGTATTACTGCTGGAGTGCCTGAGCTCATTGAACCTGATCCTACCTAGGTGGAGGCCACAGTGCCCCAATGTGACTAGTGAGGGTCAGTGGAGCCAGAGAAGCAAGTGGGCTTTCACGCAGCCTGGCCCCTGCTCCGTTCCCCTAAGGCCTGGGCTTTCAGTCTCATCCTGAGAACTTCCTGCCACCCCCAACCACAGGTTCCCTGGGCATCTCACTTGAATGGACCTGTTTGGCTCAGTTCAGAATTTCCATGCAGGTTAAGTGCCTGTCCTGTCCCCTCGGCAGCCCAGGGTGACACAACAGAGCAGGACCCACACAGCTCTGACAGCCTCACTCCACGTGCATACAGGGAGGCTCAGAGCCTGTCTAGACATTGGAGATGGGCCAGCGCTGGACTTGGGGGAGAATCAAAAGGGGTTCATTATGCTCTGCAGCCCCCAGCTTGCCCAAAGGGAGGGATTTCTAGAGCAAGAACCAGACATCAAACATAATGATCATTTTTCCTGCCCTTTACCAACCCTGTCCCCTTCCCGAGAAAGGATAGCCAGAGCTGAAGTTCAAAGCCCACGGAAGACCTAAATTTACTACTTAAAATGTCAGGAGCATGTTAGCGATAACAAATCTTCATATGTGAACTATGCATATGGTTCTTAAAATGCCCTCACAATTTCTTCCACAGCAGCCCTGTGAGAGAGGCCTCACCTTCTAGAGGCAAACACTGAGGTTTGGGAGGTTCTGTGACTTTTTGAGCATCAGTCCTGGGTTCTGACCCCCAGGCCTTTCTAACACTGGGTCCAGAGAACATAAACCCCCGACTGGGTGGAGAACAGCAGCCATCCAGTGGGTCTGAGTCTGAGCTGAAACCTCAGGCTTTGCCCTTTCTACTGGGGTTCCTCTCAATGATGACTTTTCCTGGGGGGCTGGCTTGTTTCCAGGTCAAACTAGGCTCAGTCCCTCAAAAGCTGCAGCGTGTACATGGGCTAGGATTACTCACAATGTGCATAACAGGAGTCTCCCAGGTGGTAGCACTGTTACTAAAAGAGGGGATTGGTTTTTTGGAGGGGTGCCATTCATTCATGGGTGGCAGGAAGCATGTTACTTTTTTTTTTTTTTTTTAAGATTTTTTATTTATGCTTACTGAGGTACAGGCCACAGGTGTGGTCGGTGAGAGGATTCACCAGAGACAAAGTGGGGAGCAGAACAGGCAGATTGACAAAGTACAAAGCTGAGGGGAGCAGCAGGCGGGTCAGGAGAGGTCTGCCATGCCATGTGGGTCAGCTCCCTGGCTGGGGATTGAACTCATGCTGCAGTGGCTTCACAGAGCTTCACAATGCGGTGCTTTAACCCATTGCACCACCAGGGAGAGCCAGGAGCACGTCACTTTTATAAGTTCTGAAGGGGAATTTAATTTTGAAGTTAAAAATTTAAATAGACTCTAACATGTTTTTATGAATTTATTATACTTCTATCTCAGCTTTTTCCCACTTAGCCAAAAAATTCCTTATGATGAGACCAGTGACGGTAGGTTGACCCCACCGCAGATCACTCACTCCCTGCTGCCTGCACTCACCACCCCTTGCCTCTCTCCTTCCCCTGACCTCCAGCACATCATCTGCCAGTTCCAGTCACAGGAATCCCCCAACCTCTCATTATCTACCTGCCTCCCTCACTAAAATTTAAATCCCAAGAAGGCAAGGGCCATATGTCTGCTCTATTGACCAACCACACCCAACAATTGCCTAGAATATAAATATTTGTTGAATGAGTGAAATAATATATTCCTAAAACAAAGAACTATTTATTTGAAAGACATCTTTAAAGCACAGAAAGGAACAGAGAATAATGTAACCATCATGTATTTTTACCATCATAAAAGAGGCTATTGGTGAGGACTATTCCTTTCTAAAAGTCTAAGTTTTCATTCCTATTTGAATCCTTTTTAGAGCAAGTCAAGGTAAATAATTTACTAGACTATCCCAGTGATGTATCAATATTTTATAGCTGTTGACATGTACTATTAATAGGTAGTCATGTGTATTAACTTAGAACCTAAACTAAACAAAGTGACTCCCTCAGGCACTATCCATATTAAACAGTCAATTCGCCTTACCTGGGTAAAAGTTCACCTGCATCCCTGAGCAGTCCCTGCCCCTCCCTCCCTCTGGCGGCAGACATCCCAGCAGGGCTACAGGGCCCACTTAGGGACCCTCTGTATGGGGAGGAAAGGTCGAGTTGCTCACACGTGTGGGGGACCCACCCCCAACCTGGGTGGAATATTCTATGATGCCTTTCACAGGGCAATCTTCCCCTTCTCCCTCTGAGGGCAGGGTCTGTCCTGGGAGTGGGGGGGTGTGTGGGGTTTTGAAGCCAGTTGTCAACAAACAAAAGCCAGGCACTGCTTGCTTACTCTGGCTATTCTATCAGCTGCTTTGGTCAGGGTTTGGGCCTGGGGTTTAGAAAAGCAGGACTAGGCAAAGAGATGAAGGAAGAGTAGGAACTTTGGTTCATGGATCCCTCCTCCACAAGAGTATCAGATTTCTCAGAGGACTGGCACAAATAAACAATCTTTCTTATCTAAGTAAGGTTTGAGGCAGGAAGCAGCTGGTTGATATGAAGTCTGGTTTGAGCCCTTCTCTGGCTTTGTGACTTGAGTAAGGTACAGCCCTTCTGTGATGCCATTTTTCAGGGCTCTGCACTGGTGGGGTGTTGGAGGGAAGTAGTGGGTGTGAGCCTCACTGTCCCAGGGTTTTCACCAGCAGAACCACCAGAAACACGTTATACCGGGTCTAAGCTGTGTGGTTGTTTAAGCTCTAAAATAGGGATAATTCTATTTGCAGGTTTAGATATATGTGTGTGTATATAACATATCAATTAAGATATACATCTTATATGTTTGTATATATGATATATAACATATAAGATTTGTGTCACATATATGGAAATTATGTATACTTTATGCATCTAATTCTATATGTAAAAATTACCTCTGAATTGAGGCTAGATTTGAGAGTCAGCAAGAAAGGGCACAAAAAGCAGTCAGCTTAGCATGTACCACACTGGGAGCTGTTGACGCTGGCCATTATTAATTTAGTATTTATTTACTATGCTTTAAATAAAAGACACATGAGCCCAGGAGACTGTACTTAATCTCTACATCTACTCATGTGAGATTTAAAGGAGAAACCGGAACCTAATGATAAAAATAAGATAAACAGCATGAGACATTTAAATAAGGAAACACAGGCTCACAGGGAGACTCTTACCCATAAATGTCCAAGACACCAATAAAAGTGTGCTGCTTGCCTGAAAACTGCAATGCTTGGTTAATTCTCTCCACGATGAAGTCAAACAAGTGCGTATAGATCTTCTTAGCCAGTGCGTCCCTGGCATTGGCAGCCTGGGGCTTGGTCATGGGCTTCACCACCATATCTGAGGCTGTGACAATTTTGCGATTGCACAGCCACTGGGCCACTTTGTCTCTCTCCAGGCCCAGGAGCTCACAGAACACTTGCAGGTGGTTGTCATCCTCCTTCAAAAGCAAGCACAGGCTCCGTCAGGCTGCCCAGTCATCTACACCAGCAGCAGCCCACCCAGCACTGGGCCTGTGTGAGGGTGAACTGGGGCATGAGAATGAGCAGGATTCACGAGACAGTCAGGTCTGGGAGTAAAACTGGGGCAGCCAGTGGTCCTGAGCCTGCTTCTGGTCCCTGGCAGAGCACTGGCCGGGAGGCCAGGTGATATTGGCTGTATCTCCCTTTTAGGGGGAAAGGCCGTCCTGAAGGAACTCTGCAGAGTTTTGTGGACTCCACCCCCTACTCCAGTTATTGAAACTACTACTCCACCCCCTACTCCAGTCACTGAAACTACAAATCCCAGCAATACCAAGGGGAAAACTGCAAGGACCCAAGGGTGGAACTAAGCAGGCATTTTGGGACTTATTTTTTTGATATATAGAGAGAAGCCATGTTGAGGCGCTTTCTCTCTGGGCTGCGTGGCTGGTTGCTTGGCTCTTGATGAGCTTTCAGTGTGCTATTGGAGTCCAAGTCAGCAAAACTGGTAGGATATTCTAGTTAACTTATTTTTCTCTCTCTCTCTTTCCCAGGGTTGTTCGTTTCCTTTCCCCTTATAAATAAACCCATTATTGATCCTTTTTGTGTGTGCCTGCAATACAGTTGAATTTTAAGTGCACAGGTGAGGACCACAGACAGGCAACCCAGTTCAGATTGGTTGCCCTATAACACCACTAGAATTTTCATGCTGGCCAAGAGTATCAGTTGTGATTAAGGCAAAGAAGCAATCCTCCCGCCACCCCACATGAAGCCTCTGTCTTTCCTCTCCCGCATATTCAGACCCCTGTCCAAAGGAGCACTCCCCTGACCCTCCTGCATGTGCAGGATTTTCTGTGTGGCCCTGCCCTTAGTGTCACCAAGAACTGCTGGAAGTCCCTTGACTACATGAGCTTCACCAGGGCTGTGGTGGAGGACTTTCATAAACATACAAAGTGCCTCTTGCTTCTCTCCTGGGTGGGCACAAGGGCTGCCCCACTGACCAGCAGAGAAGATACTCCCATTTGTCTCACATGTGGGGTCCTTGTCACTTGGCAGAGAGATGGGACCCCAGATGCCTAAGCAGCCTCGTTGCTCTCTGGCAGGGCTAGGCACTTCAGGAGCCCAGAACCATGGGTTGTCCAAAATTATCAGTTGTTCCCATCAGTTGTTTGGGGGACATGAAAATCAACAGTGTTAGTGACTGTTTCCCCCCAAATTCACATGCTGAAGTCTTCGCCCTATGTGATGTTATCTGGAGGTGGGGTCTTAGGGAATAACTAGGTTCAGGAGAGGTTGTGCCCCCATAATGGGGTTAGCATCCCCATAAGAAGAGTAAGAGACCAGAGATCACATTCTCAGTCATTCCCACATAGCAAGAAGGTGGCCATGCCTGCCAGAAAGAGGGGCCTCAATAGGAACCCGACCATACTGACATTTTGACCTCAGACTCTCAGTCTCTAGGACTAAGAGAAGACAGACTTATTCAGACACACAGTCTTTGGTATTTTGTTATGACAATCTAAGCTTGCTAAGGGAGACATGCTAACACAACTGTTCAAGGTAGAACATTTTGCATCTTGTAGATACATTTTTTACTATGTGTTATATTCTTCTTTATGGAGACATTAATGACAATAGCCAAACACCTACCTCTAATGAGAGTCACTACTCATACACTTTTACAGAAGAGCACACAGAAACTTATCCTGTGATCATTTACCATAGAATTTACATGTAAATATATTTCCAAAGGCGAAATCAGAACCAACAGTGTTTGATTTAAGTAGGTGTCAGGAGGTAAGGGCTTATCCTTTCTGCTTAAAACTGCCCTAGGCCCTGAGATACTCCCTCCACCCATACCCACAAATGTTCTGTCCTCACCTACCACCTCCTTTCACACGCTCATCCCTGCACCAACTTTTCTCCAGCAACACCTCCTGCGGCTCACTCTACTTAGAATGTTCTCAGATAGAGGCATGATTCACTTCCTCATGTCCTTCAGGCCTCTTCCCACCGTCGCGTATCAGAAGGGCTGTCTCTGCTGCCCTAAACAAAAGGCACCACCTCGCTCCACCCCCCTAGGCTGCCTTATTTTCCTTTTTAACAGACATGACCAGATGCCAGAGCTTATATTTGTCTATTGTCTCCCTTCCTCTTTTCTTCCCTACGTCATAAGCTTGAGGAAGGACCTCTTTCGTTTTTTTCTGTTTCCCCAGAGTTAACACAGCCCCTGGCACATAGTAGGTGCTCAATTCATACACCCTGATTAAAAGAAAAACAAATGGAGAATACATTCCTTCTCCTCTATTGTCATAAGGGTAATGAACTTTACTCTCTGAGGGCACCAAGAGAAATGCTTGTTTCCTTGTTCCTGTTAAACTGGTCTCCCCAGTAACCCAGATGCTAAAATGCAGAGGCAGGCTAATATGAGACAATCCTGTGATCCTCCCGACACAGGAAGGGGGAAACAAAGATGATTCTTACACTAATTGTGGACCTCTCACTGCCCACTGCCATGATCTGCACGTTGCCCAGATGTAGGATAGCTGCCAGGATCTTAAAAACATCCATCTGGAAATCCTTCTTGAAACCTGGAAACAGAAATGTTCCTAAATTAAGAATACTGCATTTCTTCTCTTGCTTAGTCCCTGTAAGATAAGCACCCAGGTTCTTAAAAGATACTCTGGTGCCATCATCACCAACAGCTAGGAAGGTAGTGTAGCATGGACTTTAGGGAGAACCTGGTTCAGTATTTTTTTTTTCAGTTTGACTTGTGTCAACACATAATGTGATCTGTACAAACCATGAGGTTTTCCCTTTTGCCAAGACTGCTAGTTAGTTCAACACAAAAATTAACATGTGAATACCGCTTCACGTCAAGTTCCTGGGAAAATCAGCTTTGTTAGTCTATGTGATTCTTTATTTTTAGTATGTTTGTTGTTATATATATATATATTGGTCTTTGCAGATAGATTCCCTTCGCCCCTCCAGCTCTGACCCCTCTCTCTGCTTAGAAGCCTGACCTGTAAGAACTGAGGTGATGAGCTCCCCTGGCCTCCTGGAAGAGGTCAGAGAGCAGGATAGAGGGGTTGGGCTTGTCATCTTTGTCTCTTTCCCTGCCATGTTGCCTCAAGCTGGCTGTGCTGATGACTCCCCAGCCCTCCTTGAGGCAGCCCTATGCCTGAGGAGAGGGGAGTGAACCACTCTGCTGTGGCCCCCGGCTCCCTGGGGCCCCTCATAGCTCCCATGATCCACCCACATCTTTGTTGTTGGCCCCTTCCTAAATAATCCCCTCTCCATTTCTCCTGACTTGAGGGAGCCCATGTGTCCTTCTGGGATCCTGACTAAAACAGGCAGAATATAAATGAATGTGAAATTTTCAGTCCTCGTAAGAGCTTTAGCACATTTTCTGGAGCCAAAAATAAACCAAACAAGCTCTAAAAAGGGCTGTGTCCAACTGCTATAGGTCATACCAGAGAACCTGCCAGCTGTAAGCAGGGTCAGTGTCCCTGTGCGGGGTGGCGTGGTGGGGAGGAGGCAGCACCAGTGGCTATTAATGACGCAGCAGAAAGTTAAGGAAGGAGCCCAGAGATAGACTTGGGCAGGCGGGGCATCCATGCTTCCTGGTCTGCACCAGATGGACACTGAATAGAACCCTGAAAACTCCCACTCCTTCCCAACAGCAGGCCCAAAATGTCAGGTAAGAGCTGCTGTGGGTACCCACCCTTCTCCTCCAGGAAGCCTGCAGTATTTCAACAGCAGCAAGTTATGTTCTTAAGCAATTTCAAAGCCTAGAAATTCTGTTACACTTCAAAGATTAAGCAAAAAGTCAAAGTTACAAAAGATTTCAACAAAAGTTTATGAAAGACTCCAGTGCCCTCTGAGTCCAGGCATTAGCTGCTTTTCTATTTGCAACTAACACCTCCAGTTGAAGGATAGGTGCCTCTAGCAGAAATAACCTCCACCTGATAAATGACAGGTGAGTGAAGAGGGAAAGCAACTAAAAATACAATCTGGGAACCTTCGTTCTGGCACTCCCACTCTCTGTGTTCCATAACGGAATCACATGACCACTCCACGCATTCCAGAATTGGCAAGAGTGGAATAACAACTCCCAAGCAATGATGTGAAAGAAAGAACTGAAGATCGCTGTGAAGCAATTACCCACAGTGAGACAAGAGCACTCAAAAGCACCACTGGCCTCATTTAGATTTCAAAGGAAAAGCATAGTGGTCAAGTTCTTTGAGCCTGGGGTCCTGGAGTGATCTGTCTGTTTCCAGGGTATTCTGTCTGTGAAATCTAGATGGTGACATAAGCTATGCAATCTCTATCGACTGACATATTCTGGATAGAGACAGAAGTGCTCTGAAAAATCAGAATTTCCACGCTAACTTATGTTATGACCTCCCTTTTTTGTAATATCAAAATATTCTAAGCAACCATCAGCTTACAACCAGATTGCCTTAGCCTCATAAGGCGCTGCCTGGCTCAGGTGAGCAAGCACTGCCCAAGACAGGAAATTCCTCTAGAAAGCAAAAAATACTACAACTGGCTGGTTAATAAAAACAATTATAACAAAACCAATATTGTAAGACAAGGCAGTACTAGAACATGCTAAAAAATAATTTTACTGCCCGGACCAGAACCCAAATCTTATCACTCTACTCTCTTACTTAAGCTTGTATTGCTCAGTCTTTAAATGAGAATCTTACTATCTCCCTTAGTGATTTATCTACCAGGAAACTCCCCCAGCCTAGTCTTTGACCTTACTTTATCCTCTTTCACAACTTCTCCTTGGCCCGAGACCTCACCCTATCCCCGTTCACATCTCCAGCCCAATCTCCACCCTAGCCCTTGACTTGACTTTACCCTCTAAGATGTCTCAATAAGAATGAAAATCAGGCCCTCCCTGGTGGCGCAGCGGGTTAAAGCATAGCACTGAGAATCTAAAGCCACTTCTGCATGAGTTCGATCTGCCTGTTCTGCTTCCCGCCTTCACCGCCCCTGAGCCTCTGGCCTGTACCCCAGTTCTGTCTGCACAAATAAATAAATCTTAAAAAAAAGAAAAAAGAATGAAGATCATTAAGTAGCATCAAAGGTTTAAAGGGACTTTATTTTAGCCAGTCAACACTATAGTAAATATAACAATATTAGCCTTAAAATTTTATGAATTTATGTAACTATCCTTACTTTAATAGATTGATTTTAAGAATAATAAATGTTATAATCGTAGCTGAAGGATAATATGACCCTAAACTGTTCTTAGAAAAAAAAGATTGTAATCTCTCAGCCCAATTCATATGTTAATTGCCTAAAATGTATAAACTTCTGCTGACAGCAGAACAGGAAGACTTGCACCCAACTCCGATTCCTGTGTCTTCCTCACTCCCCTTTCCCCTTTTTTTCCTTTTCCCCCTTTTTTAGGAATCTCCACCTTTTTTTTAGGAATCTCTCACCTTGAGACCCTGCCTGTTCTGCCCCTCAATAATCCGTGATTGGGAAACAAAGAGTCCCCGACAAGATGGTCAGGGAAGCATAATAGGTTTAATAAAATGGGGGTGTCAGCAGAAGAACAAGGAACATGTCATCAAAGTCCATCCTCTTATGCTCCTTTTGGGGGTAACCTGAGGCTAAGAGAGAAAGTGAGGGAACCTCTGTGTTAGGCATGATGCCTAGTAATGTTCACATATTGTCTCATCTCATGTTACAGCAGTTCTATGAAGTTAGCCCTAATATTGTTCCAGTTTACAAAATGAGAAACTAAGACATAGAGGGGCAAGGGAACTTTTAGCCCAAGGTCACATCATGTGGGTAGCGCCCAAGCAGTTTAATGCCAGTGACCTCGGTCAGAAGACCCAACGAACTGGTCCCAGTGTGTCTAACCACAGAAGTCCCCTGGCAGGCCCATGCCAGGAAGCCAGAGCAGGCTGCCCCGACTGTGCAGGACCTGCACTTGAACTTCACCACCTCCCTGCTAACACTGCCCATTTCTCCATGCTATCTCCATAACAAAGCACAACAATGGGCAAATCAACCAAATCCTTATATAGCATTACATTTTTTAAAAGGTGAAGTGTTCATGTGTTGTAAACCTGTATAACATTCCAGTTAGGCAATCTGGCCTGGAGGGGAACTCCACCTAAGAAAGCTAACACACAGAGACATACACAAAAAGGACACAGACCATGGAACAAGCAGTGCAAACAAGGTATTCGCAGTGTATGGGATGCACTGTTGGAGAGAACGCTGCAGTAGCAAAGGATCTGTGTGCTCTACAATAGGGCATCTGTTTGCCACACGTGGTTATGTGCACTTCAAACATGCTGAGTGTAAGTGAAGAAATGAATTTTTAACTTTTATTTAAGTGCAGTGTAAATGGTCACTTGTGGCTGGTGTGTTGGAGCGTGCAGATGTTCAGCCCATGACAGCAACAAGCAGCATTAGACCACGGATGGTAAGGGTTGCAGGAGGATGATAACCTCAAGGTCCCGATGGGGCCATTTAGGTCCATGCATGGATCCACTCCACCATAGTTAGTGAACCTCTGAAGCCCCCTTAAACTTCTCGTTGGCCAGTCCTGGGATCATCAGAAGACTTCTATGTTTAGACTAAGGAGAAACTCTAAGGAGCTCATCAACTAGTCATGGGATGGTTGACCTAGGGAAAGGGCTCTGTGCCTATGACCTGCGGAACCATTCCTCAGCTATACCATGGGTGTGTGTAAACAACCATGGACAATATGTATACCAAGGAGTGCATTTGCATTCCAATAAACTTTTATTTACAAAACAGGCTGGATTCTGTTGATGCCAGGTCTAGGACATTTTTTACTGATTCATGCAATGAAGTCACACTTTCACTGGATATACAGTCATCTCACACTGATGACGCATGCCACGGTTTTGAGACCACTTTAGATGTTAATCTCTTAATCCCCACAACTTCCCTAATAGCTACTGTGCAGTTACTATCAAAAGATACCCCATGCCCCAGTGTCTGTGCCCTGCGTAATAACAACCCCTTCCCTGCCCCCATAGTCGAGTCTGAGCTGCTGCTCTGATTTGCTTTTGACCATTAGCACATAGCAATAGTAGTGGTGCTGCATTACTTCTGGGCTGCCTCATAAACAGGACTGCAGAGTCTACCTGAGATTGCTGGGACTGGAGCCGAGGACAGCTAGCCACAGCACTCACAGTCCAGCCACCCTGAGTCCAGCGGGCTGTGAGGATGCTCTCATGAAGGGAAACAAAGCTGTTCACCCACCCAGCCGCAGTAGTTCCAACCTACCCAGCCAGGAGAGAGAAGAAACTTCAGTGGACCCAGCCCTGACACCAACATGTGACAGTCTCCAAAGAGCGAGGTGCCCAGCTGAGCTTAGTCAACCCAGAATCACTGAGCTAATAATAACCAGTCAATTTAAACCACTAAGTTTTGGAGGACAGCAACAGATGATTCAAACAACTAAATATTTTCACTACTGCCCAGTGTATACATGGGGAAACTGATATTTGAGGCCCTAGACCAATATTTAGACAGAAAAAAAAGTTGGAGCAAGAACAAGACAACAGATAACAAAGTACCAAACCTTGAGGAATGGCCAGAGTAAAGCAGAGTCATCAGACTGGCGTCTTTAGATAATAAGCATGGTGGAAAGCAAGCAGATGCCTACCTGTTCTTGGAGTTCTGCCAGCCGTGATATCACTGACTGAGATAGTTCTCTTGTTAAAAATTTTTATCTTTGAATAGTTTTAGATTTACAGAAAAATTACAAACATAATGCAGATAATTCCTATATACCCCATACTTAGTTCTCTATTATTAACACTGCATATTATGATATATATGGCATATTTGTAGACTTTCTAAAAAACATATTTTTATTGAAGAAACACTGGCATGTAATGTCACATAGCCTTCAGTTATACAGCCTTATAATTTGACACTGTACATCATGTTCCTCACCAAAAGACCAGAGTTCATCCATCACTATACAATTAGCCCCTTCACTCATTTTACTTACCTCTTCACTTCCTTCCCTGAATAATCACTAATATGTTCTCTGTATCTGAGAGTTTTCTTAACTTTGGTTTCTTTGTTCATTTGCTTTGTTTCTTTATATTCTATATATAACTCTTAGGGTGTTTGTTTTTCTTTTCCTGACTTTTTCCATTTAGTATAATCTCCTCACATTCTATCCATTTTGTTGTAAATGACACAATTTCCTTCTTTTTTAGGGCTGAGTAGTATTTCACTGTGTGTGTGTGTGTGTGTGTGTGTGTGTATAATGTCTATGTGTATCATCATTTCCTCATCCATTCATCTGTGAACATTTAGGTTGCTTCTGTATCTTGACTGTTCACACAGCACAATGGACAGTTAAAATCCTTAAAAGTCATGGGACTTCCACAACTTCCATCTTCCCATGAAACTTGGGAAGACATTAAGGCCTGCTGTGCAGAGCAGGGCCCAAGGTAAGGAAAGCTAGGCATCCAGGCTACTCCACCCTAGTCCGGGCATTGTTGGTATGTGGACATTTATGAAAAATCTTTTAATTTGTGTGGCAGAGTGGAAAAATAGTTGCTGCTGATCTCTAATAATTAGGAAAGATTTCATAGAAAAGGAGGTATCTTTGCTCAAAGAGTGGTTAGGGTTTGGACAAAAGGAAGTATATACAGAGAGAGAGAAGCAGGCAGTAATATTTAGCAAGCTATGTGCACCCCCTGTGCCAGGGGCTTTCACATACATTTTCTTACTAGCTGTCAGCAAGTCTGGTGGATAAGGAAGTTTTCAGACGAGTAGAGGTGGAAGGAAGGATAGGGCACGTGGACTGAAGTCCCCAGGGGCCTTGCTAGAGTGAAGCTGCCAATCCTTTCCCACACACCATGTTCCGTCCAAACAGTGAACATTACACACAGATTGAAACTATAATTATCTTAAGAAAATGTTAATCGGTGTTAAAAGTGTTTATCGCATTATTATAAAATATTTAAATTGCCCTTCTTGACGTGGGTACAGAATTGGGTAATAATTGTGTTTAGGACCCATCCCCAATTGTGTTCATCTTGCCTATTACTCTGATACACTGAACCTCATATTCTTTGCCCATTGCATTCAAATATAGTCAACCAGGCCACCAAATACAGTCAACAATGCAAACAACTAGGCCTGAGATGCATCTTTTCTGTAAGCTGTAAAAATGTCCTGTGGTCCCACACTGAACAGAAGCTTTACAGACAATTACATATGTAGACTAACACAAAATGAGATATTTTTGACTCACAACTACTGTTTGTTAGACCATCTTTCCAAATACAAGCTCCACATGGGGGAATGTTAAGGTGGAGAAACACTGGGGAGAGGACCTAGTTCACTTGTTGTGAGCATCCTCACAACAGAAGATTTGGTTTTCCATACAAAAAGGGGATGGTGTAAGGCCATAAGTGAAAATTCCACTTCTGCCTAGCCACATACCTGGGAAAATCGGTTGCTGCCTCTGTACCTTCATTTCCCCATTGTAAAAAGGGGAAGTGCTGTGGATACCTTCTACAGTGGTTATAAAGCTTACATGAACATAATAAATTGCTGAGGATGTGCCTGACACATCTCAAACTCCTCATAAGCATGTGCTATTTTTCAGAGTACCTGTGAAGGACAAGTAGGGTCAACAATACATAACAGGATGATCTGAACCTCTGTTCTACCAGTTCTCACTGCAGTCAGCCCCAAAGAGCTTGAGAGCTTTTTTCTCATAGTGACCAGTGATCCTTAGAGAAGAGGAATTTATTTCCAGATGATTTAAGAAAAAAGAACAGCCTCAACCACTTGGCATCCAAGTATGTTCTGAATGGCTCATCCTGAAGCAAAAATTTATTAGGAGTCTTCAGAATGCACACATGCTGGGCTTCTCTGCCTTTCCCCCCCAACACCCCAAGAGAAAATGGCCACAACTGGGAGATGGTATTTCCACTTACCCAGCAGCGTGAAGGTCCTCTGAGTCTCCATCATGTCAGCTTTGTCATCCACACCCTCAATGACAGTGCTGCCACCCATTCTCGTGTAATTAAACTCTTCTGCACTCCCTGAAATCAAAAGTTTGTGTTATGTCTGTGACACATAACTTTAGACAATAGAAGGAGAAAGGAAGTTCATACTATGTTATATTAAGCACATTACACTTTTCTTCCATTTATTCCATGTTACAATTTTCTTCCATTCATTCCTTAGGTTCTATGATGCAGATACCATAGCCAAGTAACTTACTGAAGATCCTACAGCTGATTACAATAATTTAAATACAGGACTGACTCTAAAGTTCATGGTTTTTGTTCACAGGACAAATAAATATTACATGGTTTTCACTGAGGTTCACTGACTTTATAGTGAACTGTATACATTTAAAATGTACAATATGAGAGCCCTTCTTGGTGGTGCAGTGGGTTAGGACACACCACTGCAAGCTAGCCACAGCAGCTTAGTGTCAGTTCAATCCACAGCCCCAGAGCTGACCCACATGGCACAGTAGACCTTTCCTGTCTCGCCTGCTGCTCCCCTCAGCAGTGTACTTTCTCCATCTGCCTGTTCTGCTCCCCACTCTCTCTGGTGAATCCTCTTACTGCCTCTGCACCTCTTGCCTGTACCCCAGTTCTGTATGCATAAATAAATATATCTTTTTTAAAAATAAAATGTACAATTTGAGTTTGACACATGGTATACCCTTAAATAAATCACTACAATCAAGATGTTGACCATGTGTACATACAATATTTGAATTGTTAAGTGACCCTGCAGAGAGTTCTCCTGTTTGCCATTTACGTTCTGTTTGGCAGACAAGGCATGGATATTATTATCGTGTGAAAGTGAATTAGATTCCATGAATACAAGTTAACTTCTCCAAGATAAGGGAATGTGTTTTCAACTCCAATACATAAGAAGTTACCGCTGACTTTTCTATTTATCAGCGCTGTTGGAAAGACTGAGAAGGGAGAGGTACAGGGTCACAGGAGCCTGGCCACTGGCACCAAAGACCATCCCTGAAGTATAATTAATTATGGCTAAAATAATAATGAGCTTAAGGCATCAAAAAAGTTCAATTATATTTCAGGAGACAGGCAACTATATCACACAAGTCAGAAAAATGACTATCCAAGGAGGTTTGGATAAAAAGTGCTGTTCAGAGCAGTACATTCAGGTACCCAGGAAGCTTGACTCAGGGAGTCCAGCTGGATGACCACAATTACACAATGGGCTTTGGGAAACTCAAAGCTGGAGCTGAAGCTTCCCCTTTCTCTGGACCCTGAGCCTAGCTATCTCCTTAGTTACAGGCATCAATCCAGCTCCCAAACCTGAGGATCTTGTATTTCTGAACAGAATACTTTTTTAAAAAATGACATATCAGGAGACCTTCACCTGTAGTTTAGATCCCTATGCAGAAGAGACTTTCCCACACACCATGCATCACGTACCTAGTTTAAGATGTTTAAATTCCGACTGCTGTGCAGATGCACAAAGTTGATAGAAAATATGGTAATTTCGTTCATTTTCTGACTGTAAAGCAAAAAAAAAAGTCCGAAAGTTAAACCAACCCTTCACAAGTGAAGATGTCAGGTTTTCAGCAGATTAAGTGATTAATCTGGGTTGACAATGCTGCTGCCCTGGAACTGAAATTTTTATGTGTATTCTCTGCTGTGGTTGCTATACCAGGAGAGCTAAGCTGTTCCCTCTGCTGGCTCATGAACAGAATTGTCTGCCAGAGAGGCAAATGGAGGCCAAATATCCCTTCCAAATACTGACCCCAAGAAAATGTGATTAAATGAAAACATTCTACAAAACAGGAATAACAATTTTTGCTTCTTGAAATTTGTAAGAAAATGTAAGGTTTGATGTTACTGTTCTTCTAGGCTGAAGCAATGAGAACGTTCTCCATTTTACTGACAGAGTCTTTCACTTAAACTCCCTCTCATGAGCTCTAATCTCATGCCCTTCCTGGTAGGAAAGCAGGTTTAACAGCTTAGCCTGTTTTGGCTTTAATGTTCTAGAATGACACCTTGACTTTTTAAAACTGTAAGCATTCTCTAAGTTCCTCAAATTAAAAGTCATAACCTTTTTTTCCTCAAACAACTCCACTGATAATATACCATCAATTATTTTTCTAAGAAACAAACAAAAAACCCAAATTGCAAATGAAAGGCAGAAAGCGCTCTTAGTCAAATCACAGAACAAGATAGGATATCTAATGAGCACATAAATGTAAGCAATGCTTAAAACATTGAAGGAAAGGAAATTTAAAATATTTTATCCTTACTTGAAAGACAACTCTGGATTTCTCCAGCAGGTAAGTTCTCATGTTGGCTCCTATAATTTGGTTTCTGTCATCAAAACTGATTTCCGTGTATTTTCCAAACCGACTACTGTTGTCATTGCGGGTGGTCTTGGCATTCCCAACAGCCTACAAAACAGCGCTCTATGAAACACCAGCATTTAAAAGATCTTTGCACCCTTGTTACTGGGTCAGTGTTCGTGAATCCAGTCCTGTGTGTTGGGGAAGGTCTGGTGGATAGAGCCAGCTTGAGTCTCACAGAGAACAGAGCCTGCCACTCAAAGCTCTCCTACTCTTGCTAAGACACTGACCTGGACTAGCAAGAGCACAGTTTCTGCTGTTTCATGCCCCTAGGTGCCTTTTGAACTGTGTGATGACAGAAAAATTACTTCATCTACCCAAATCTCCATTCCTCTACCAATGAGCATAATCTGCATTTTACAGAGTTGAGAGAATTAAGTGAGGTCATATAAGGTGCCTCAACTTACCCAGGCCCTGAGTATTATAGGTATTCAATTGAAAGTTCATATCCTGCACCCAATTTTACTCCATCTGTGCCCCTTACCATTTCTCTACTCAACTAATCGCCTGCCCTCTCCCATCCCTCCCACACTGAAAATGAGTTTCGCTTTTCACATCTCTTCTTGAATTCCATACCCTGCCTTCCCCCTACTGAGTACTCTTCATCTGGAAGCTTCCTTCCCATGCACAATCACTGCATTTCCTGCCCAGATCATCTTGCTTTCTGACAACATATATGTACTGAGCATTGGCTATGGGGCCGCTTGATTAGCAGGCAAAGGTGAAGTAAACAGAAACACTCCTGCTTCTGTGGAGCTTATAAGATGCTGGATGAGAAAGACTCCAAATGAATAATCACACAAAATTAAACACTGGACATTTATCTAAACAGTGCCTCTTCGTACATTTTCTATTGTTATCTTGGATTTATATCTCTATTCAGCATATTTTATGCTTTTGTTAGAACAGTTTTAAGACTAAGGGACAGCTTTTATTCTTTTCTATTACTTCCCAGTGACACAGCAGCTTAAACAAAATACCCATTGATGAGGGGAACCCAACAGACCAGGGTAGAGGATTATGGGTGCTTTGGTGGTAAGTATAAATCTCTATCCCTAAGTCACATAGAATGTTGTAAACCTTTAGTACCTCAGTTAAAAACACACACACACACACAAATCATTGGTATTTTAATAATTCTGAGAGGCTTCGAAGGTTTTCATTGGAGGAGAAGAGTTACCATGCTCTTCATTATTCCCCATGTTTCCAAATGCATCCAAATTAACCCTCTTTCCATTTTCTCAGACAGGCAGGCCTGTTCCTTGGGCCCTGCCCTACTTCCTTCAGATAGCTGTCTCTTCTTCCTTGAGGATGGTCTCCAACCCCCTCCTGCTGCCTGGCTGCGCCAGCCCACACTTCTGACCAATCAGTTGGTTGTGATGAATCAACTTGGGATGGGAGGAGGAAGAGCCTTGGTATGTGGCATTTACCAATTTGGTTTGTGTTTGTTTTAATAATGTATTTAGTTATATATATTTTACATCACTGTTCACTTTTTTTTTTTTTTACAATGTTTGCTTTCTTTTCGCAGGTGTAGACCCCATAGAATTTCCCCACCAATTCACCTAGGCACCATCACCACAGTCCCTTGTGCTCTTCTCTCCCTTGTTTTGGTCCCTCGCCCTCCCTCTCCCCTGCAAAATATTTCTGATTTATAGTTTCCTGTTCAGTGTTTTTTTTTTTAAAGATTTATTTATTCATACAGAACTGGGGTACAGGCCAGAGATACGGAGGGTGAGAGGATTCACCAGGGACAGAGTAGGGGAGCAGAACAGGCAGATCTATGAAATACACTGATGAGGGGAGCAGCGGGCGGGTCAGGAGAGGTCTGCCACGCCATGTGGTCACCTCCGGGGCAGGTGGGAATCAAACTCATGCGGAAGTGGCTTAAGCTTTTTAGTGCTGTGCTTTAACCTGCTGCGCCACCAGGGAGGGCCCCTGTTTTGTTTTTTATTGTTACTATTTCCTCTTTGTCTGGTGGATGGTTCCCTATAGTCCTCCTACAAGTGAAACCACCCAATATTTTCTTTTTCCTTCCAGCTTACTTCACTGAATGCTTACCACTGAGCATTGGAGGATGTAAATGATACCACCACATCAGAGATTTAACAATGAACTTGAAAAAAGAAAAAAAAACCCTCAATATTTAACAATGAGTTTATGAAAGTCTGAAGTAGGACTGGAAGTTCCTGCTCTCTAATCTCCTGGGGATGGTTCTCCAGGCTACCAGCGCCCACAATTAGGTGCTTTCAGAAGCCACTCACTCAATAAAAAAAGGTTCTTCGACCTCTCTCCATACTGAGGAAATTCCAAGGGTTTTGTCAGCTGTGAGCCCAGAACTGTGGTCAGAGATCAAACACACATGAAATGTATTTTGATCAGACATATCTGTTGTATAAATCACAATACCACACAAACCAACATACCTCTCCATCAACACATGCCGCTGCTTTGACCCTGCCCCCAGCCCCAGTAGGTACAAACCTCGGTTATGGGGTTGGACGCCAGAACCTTGTCCTCCACGTGTGTGTTACTGCTTGACTTGCTGACTGTGGCAAAGTACCTCATGGCATAACGTGCAGACACGGTCTTTCCAGCACCTGACTCCCCACTTACGATTATTGACTGGTTTTTATTGTTTCTAAGGCAAATAAATGAAAATATTTTTAAAATGTTCATTTCTCCCTATGAAACAGGCACTATAGAGCCAGTATGAGAAATGCAGATAAGGTAGAAGAAGGGAAGCATTGTTTCTCTAAGGTAACTGCTAACTTTCCAGTAAATTTCCTTTTAGTTTTTTTTTTTTCTTTTCCTGTGTGATCAGGTTGAACATGCAATTTTGTTTCCCTCTCTGTCCCCAAGACCAATCTCAGGTAAGACTTACACACAGTCATACTGGTGGCAAAGATTTATTACACCAAAGGACATAGAACAAATCAGCAAAGGCACAGACAAGCACTTGGGCCAAGTTCAGAGGAAGCCAGAAGTAAACTTGCACAATTTCACTCCTGGTGGAGTCACACAGGACAGAGAGGGCAGGCAGGACCAGAACATGGGAAATCTGTGTACCAGGGGAGCTCACTGCAGACCCCAGTGCCCAGGGCTTCCGCTGGGCCTGGTCACATAGCATCCTCTGCCTCATGCATGCCAAAATTCCAGATGCCCAAGTAGAAAGCCGGTGCTCCTTGTGACTCACATTATTTACACATACAGTTAAAGTTTATGAACGATGACCCACTCTGGTCAACGAGGAAATAGTGGGAATTTGGGAAGCTTCCCAGGAGCCAAGTTCCGAGAGGCCAGCTGCAGGCCTCTGGGGGCAGCAGCCTCAGTGTCAGACCCAGGGAGGCCCAGGGGGGAATTAAGGACCACCCCAGGGCAGAAACCTGCCCGGTGACTAAGCATCACCTGCCAACAGCAGGAAAAAAAGCCCAAAAAATCAGTAGCATGAAAACAAGGAGAAGAAAAATAACTCCAAATAGGGCAAAGTGTGCCACTAAGGTGTCTACCCCATAACTTATAAAAAGCCTGCTTTTCGCCAGTACCATTGCAATACCTGCCGTACACGTGGGTGGGTACTGCCCGAGAGTACAATAAACTTCCTTATTTGACTTTCACTCTAGTCTCTCATTCTTTCTTACTCGTGAAACCTTTTACTCAGCTTGTGAGTAAAAGCTGAGTAAAAGGTATCCCCATTTAAATATAAAAATATTCTAAAAACATTATTGGAGAGCAATTACTCAAAAAATGCTTGGGGATGTAAACCAACATGCTCACTTACATAATTTAGAGACGTTTAAAAAAGTGCGTTGAACTTGTTATGTCCTAAGATATGGTGCTAGAACCTCAGTATAATGCTGTTCCAGGTATTTAGACTGCTTACACCGAAGCACTCCGTGAATGCAGGAGTCTCATCTAAGCCTCACACAGATTCAAGGACTGTGTTCATTTCACTGAGTAAAACAGACCCAGAGGGGTTAGGTTCATGACCCAGGACAGAGAGCAAGCAACCTCCTTGTGTTCTAGGAGACCTTAGAGATAGAGCTACTGGGCCCAGACTCCGAGTGGGACTTTGAGAGTCTCCTTCTCTTGGGGCACTGTCTCCTAGAAAGTGGAAAAGATGGCTAAGTCCTAGGTTGGCCCCAAGGGTGAGAGCCACAACCTGGGGATGGCGCCAGTTCTCTGATGATTTGGGACAGTCACTGTGCTGGCCCCAGGAGGCTCACTAGACTTCTCTGTAGGACAGCATGCACCTCTACACTCTGTAAGCCACCATAATTGCTGCTTGATTATCAGTGGAACTTGAAATGGGTTTTGCATGTCTAGCTTGTCGATGGAGACACAAGCTGAGCGAGACCAGATGCTAGGCCCTGAGCTATACACAGACCTGGCAATCCACGCCCTGTGTTTCAGGTTTCCATCTGGGAGGTGAGGGTGATGTGGGGCTCAACCCACCCCACAGGGCTGTGGCAAGATGCAAAGGGGGCCACTATCTGTGAGCATTTTTTTTCTTTTTGCAAATTGTAAAAAGATCTATGAAGAGAAGATGATGTTTTTATTCTTCCAGTTTTATAGTGAGGATAAAGTCAAAAGAGAACAGGTATAAGAAAAAGAAATTGTACATGCAGTCAGAAAATCTAAGCACCCATCCCAGCTCTGCCTTTTACTTGCTGGATGACCTTGGGTGCTTGACTCTCGAATCTCAATTCACCACAGCCATCTTTATCATGGTTATTCTGATGGCACCTGAGATGATATATGGGATGTGTGCATTATGGGTCCACAGAAGCCTTTGAATAAATGTTTCTATTACAACAGAAACTCTACAAGACCATACAAAAAAAGGAAGTGAAAAATTTAAGAAAAATCTCCTTCTTCTAAAAAAATTTGTTCATTATCATTAGTTTTTACAACCTTTGGTAGGTAAAACAAAACAAAACAAAACAAAAAAACAAAACTTAGTATCTCACAGCAGAGAACAAATGAACATTCCAAGAACTAAAGCACCGTAGCAGAAGTACCTGCCTCTCCCTGACTGGTAGGACTGCCTTGACTACATGGAAGGAACAAAAGTCAAGAAACTCAGTTTAGTTAGTTAGTGACATGGTGCAATCCTTTGCCTCTCAGTACAGAAAGTCTGCTCTACAGCGCACCCCTTCCAGTTCGACAGTCTCTCCTAATGAGACCAAGCCAGCTGCCTCCCCTACACTGAGAAGGTTCCAGCAAACGGGGGAGGGTCGGAGAGGAGAGGAAGTTACCTGGCCATCTGCTTGTAGGCCTCTTCTGCCACAGCAAACATGTGTGGGTCCATGTCACCCATGTTCTGACCGCTATAAGCGTGGATGATGGCATCCCCATATATAGGCAGCTGCTTGTAAGGATTCATGGCCACCAAAATGATTCCTGAGGAGAGAGGTTAGACCCAGGCATGGGACTCTTACTGTCCTCCATTCTCCAGGTTCTTTTGAGAACCCCCAGCTCTCTCTTATTGCCCTGGGCAGGTTACCAAATCGTCTGAATCTCAGTTTCTGCTAATGTTGCCAACATTTCCAGGCTACTCTGAGGGCTACAGATGACAAATGGGAATGCCCTATCATGACAGGCATTTGCAATTCTCAGTTCAAATGCAGTGATAATATCATCATTCCAAATAAGTAATAACTTTCTTACATTCAATGAGAAAGTCAAATGCAAGACTTATCCACTGGTATTTTTCTCGGCAGTCCAAACTCAGTTCTCACTGAAGAATTCCCCTCCTACATACTCCTTTTCATGGCAAACTGTAGAAGATCAAATGTCTGTCCCTTTCTGATAGAAATATGAGCAAATATTTAGGAGTGAGAGAGCATTTCTGATATAAACATAACACGAGATGAGATGGAAGCAGGATGCCCTGGACAGCAGCACTAGCGTCCAGCATCATGCCTGCCCGCCCACACTCACTCTCCTTACCGCTGTAGGTGTAAATGAGCTTGGATTCTGCAAAGCGGATCCTGAGATTGTGCAGCACAGCGGGCTCATGGAGGTAGCTGAGGGCTGTGAGGTCATTCTCGCCCACGAGGATGTCAGGATTCCGAAGCGGGGGTAGCGCCTCTGGATCAATGGGATAATCCAGCTCCTGCGGACAAGATGAAATTAGTCTGGAAAGTAAAAGATTTTGCTGTTTCTCTGAAATCACTGCCTTCTATCTTATACACAACCCCAGTGGAGTGATCACCAGCTGAACAATTTAGATATAGTCACCAGAAGAGTTTTCAAGCCTGACTACTGGAGCAATGGCAAGTGAGAGCCAGGATACCAGGGCCCTGGCTGTGTGCCCTGGGACAAGTGACTTAGCTCTTTGGATGCCTCTTCTCTCACGTGAGAATATGAACTGGACCAGGTCAGGAGCCCTTGGATTCCTACAGAAACTCCAATGAGGGGTGACAGGGAAACCACATGGCCAGGGACTTGGGTACCTCCTTTCCAACTTTACCACAGAGGACCCACCCCACTTGTTCATGGTTTAGATGTTGATTTTACCTCCAAGTCATCAATGTTCTACTGAAAACTACTTTGCTGAGTGAAAAAGTGAACTAAGGCTCCCTGTAGTTCAAAGGTGGCCAGATCTGCATTGGGATCTGATGTACAAAGTGCCTGAGGGAGACTGTGTGGGTGGGGGGTCTCTCCTGAAAAGGCCCCAGAGCAGTGACTCCTGTCTGTGGCCCCCTGCTCCCCCTCAGGGCTGGCCTCTCCTGTCCTCTTCTGAGCAGAATGGGAGTGGAGGCTGCATGGCTTGTGATGCTGGCACCAACAATAGGGTCTATCAGACATCAAAGCCCTCAAGGGGGCTTATTACCCCCATTCTATCTTCTTTCTCCCTAATTTCACAGCTGTGGGGAAGTGAATGGAATGACTGCAAGGTCACCCAGCAAGCTTTCCCTTCCACCTTCACAGTCTGCTTTCCCCTTGGTATATGGTCCTGGACAGGCTCCAGCAGGCGGCCCACTGCCCCTCAGCAAATGCCCACTGTCCAGACCCCACCAGGAAGTCAGCACTGGCTGTTTCACTTGACACTCAAAACTGCCTTCTAAGGAGGTCATGACTGCCCCCAATTAACAGCTATAAAGACAGCTTCAGAGTGGCTAAGCAACTTGTCCAAGGTCACACAGTTAACGTGGAGATGGCTGGCTCTGAAGCCTGTGTCCCAGCACCTCCTGTCATCACCAACAGAGGTGTTGTTGGTTGGTCATTTGGTGAATGTTGTGCAGAGAGCACACCTCCCGGCACTCCAGGACGGCTGATGTGAGTCTTCACAGCAGCTGCCTGTTCCACTGTCATGAAAGCATTCCTATTTGTGGGTCAACCCCAGGTGGAACATTCTTTTTTTTTTTTTTTTTTTTTTGGTGGCCCTAGAGTTCTTGGTATTCTATACCATGTATATCTCTGAAACAGAGAATGCTTAATCTATACACTTTTTTTTCTTGAGACGAAAATCAAGAAAAATACTGTTCATATATAATTTTAGCTTTCTCTGAGTTTTTCTGTTATGTTCTAGATTAACAACCTCCTTTTCTAGTTCAGCTGGCATGAGCAATGAGAGAGAGAGAGAAGAAATTGTGAAGAACATTAGGTTCACAGGAAGGCAAAGTTGATATTTTCCAATACAAAATAGGCTTTGTCTTTCATGGTAATGACAAAGTATTAAGTTAAAGAGCAGTCTGGCTACCTGACATCTCACCTGCTTCTCTCCCCACCCCTCTGGCAGATGGTTCAGAGCCAGGAAGGTTGCCACTGAGTCCTACTGGTGTTATGGAATTGGCCAACCGCCACTGCAGCTGATGTCTGGGGAGTTTTCTCTCCAGACAAATCTATCCCATTACTAATCAGAATCCTGACTGTACACAGGAGGTGTTCTACAACTAGTCACTGTCAGACATAGCAATGACTGGGCAGGACCTGAATTCAGGGCAGTCTGACTGGAAATACTGAGTCCTTTATCAACAAAGATCGCTTGCGGGTTTGGAAGTTCCAGCATAGCAATATTTATATGACAGTCCCCAGACCACCTCTGGCATCCAGATGGGTCACAAACCCTCTGTCCAGCTCTGCATCCAAACACTTGGTTCTCAAGACATGAGGACATACTAGCTATGGGCCCTGTGAGACCTTACTTGGTTCTGGGGTAAATGGTGACTCGTGATGAATGCTCAAGGCAAAATCTGAAGAGGTTTGTAATCAAGACATACACAGCCTTGAAGAGGAGTCCCTCACCTGTACAGTCCACTGGGAACAAAGCCAGCCTCTCCTCCAATGCTCCTCACACAGCACCGGAAGCGCCATACAAAGCCAAACAAGCAAATAGTGCCCCCTCCTCCTTGTCACCTCCCTGGTCACCTGTCACATTCCTTGTTGGAGGGCCCAATACATACACGTTCTATCTACCCACAGCTCATTTTTCTCCATTCTCTTCCTTCCCATTTTCTATCTCTGTTCTCCATTCCTCTTCCCATCTTGATGTTTTTCCCTATCAGTTTATACTTTGGGCTCAAACTCCCTCCATGAAACCAAAATGGCAAATCACATTGCAGCATTCTCCCAACAATGCTGCATTCCCAGAAATGCAGTGCCACACATGCCCAGACCCGTGCACTGACCCTGACCCTTGTTATGGAGAAGCCCAGCTAATGCTGGGCCCACTAAGCCTCTTTTCAGGGCAGTGTGGAGGAGGCGGTACTGCAGTGTGTGGGGGTGATAAAAACACTACAGTGGACTCCCAGCACCTGCTGGTCGTTCTGGGTGCCCCACAGATGCCCCCTCTGAGGATTCCCCACAGGTGCCGTGTGCCGCTCTGCACCCCAGTTACCCTTTATGCATCACAGTAACTGCAACCAGTAAGGACCTCACCGTTCCATCCTCCAAAAGGAGCTGCAGGACTGTATCACCAACTTTGTAGTCCTTGGCTATTTCAGCAGATTTCCACACTTCCTTAGCGTCCGGAATCCAAACCCTGTTGTACTGACCAAGAACAGGAGACAGGCTTAATTTCAGCACTTTAAAGACAGAAACACTAATCATGAGATAAACACACTCGAGAAGCCTTCTTTTTTCTGCTAGGTCAGTTCCTTCATTAGGAATACTTACACTTAATTTTTACTTCTGAGGTCATCCCTAGTGTCTCAGCAACGCCAAGCTGCTTCATCTTACAGGCAATGGAATACCCAAGGCCTCCTTTATAACTTGAAAACAATGCTTGGGAGTAAAAGGTAATTCACGGTCCTTTAATGGAGGGAGCTGAGTGCTATTTCTGAGAACAGAAGCAGAAAGACTTGATTGACCACAAATGGACTAGGGGGCTCTGGGACAGGCATTTAACTTCTTATGCCTCATTTTGTCTCATCCATATTATGGACACAATATATATTTTACAGGCTTGCTGGGTACTTGAAAGTACTTTGCAAAATGCTATGGAGGTATCATTATAGCAGTGTTATCACAATGTGACCACATTTGTCAGTAGCAAGGATTCCCACAATGTGCACACAGAAGTCCAGATGTCACTGCCAAACTCAATTTCCAAGCATCAAGTAATTGGTGCACCTGGCTCAGTGCTGATTTGCATGTCCTTAGAAATGAAAATCCTGTGGTTACGGACTTAACTGTGTTGTCAAAGGATTCATTTGTTGAAGTCCTAATCTGGGAGGTGGGGGGCAGAGCAGGGGGGTGGGGGGGGTGGATGTGTGTTTGGAGAAAGGATCTTTAAGAGGTAGTTTATGAGGTCATAAGGCCCTGATCTGATAAAATTAGCATCCTTAAGAGACCCTGGAGAGCTCACATGTGCACTTTTCTTCCAGCTGCAGGGACAGGAGAAAGGCCACGAGAGCACACAAGGAGAAGGGAGCTATTAACACCCAAGGGGAGAAGCCCTCACCAGCTGCCAACTCCCCCAACCCCCCACCCTCACCCCTACTAACACCTTGATATTGCCACTTCCCAGCCTCTAGGACTGTGAGAAAGTAAGTATCTGTTGCTTAAGCACCCAGAATGTGGGATACTGTTATGGCAGCCCCAGCAGAATAATGCCCAGGTCTGACATTCATACTCACACACTGGGAAGTGGGGAGTCTCACTAGGCAGAAATCGCCAGTAAGACCTTAATGCCACTCAAGATAAAGCAAAGGTGACTGCCACGTGCTTATATTGCAGGTGTCATCACTAGGACCCCCAATTCCCTCCTCTCACCCCTGCAGGTCTGCTGTGAGCTGTATGCACTGGCTATGCTCACTGTTGCAGCCCCACAACGTTCCCACATCTCATTTTCCTGTGGTTGTCTGTTCATTTGCTCTGCCCCTCAGTCAGGCACTCATTCATATTCAATAAACACTTGCTAATGTCTGTTATGTATGCTGGCCCAGAGTGGGGTTACCTGGAAGGCCAAGTGTCTGCTCTTAGTCATTATGTTCTTCCTACTATGTCCATCTCTGAGCCATGTGTGGACATGTGTACATTTGCATCTCTGCCCATATATCATTGGTTTCTTTCAACAGGACACCCTACACAGGATACTCTAATGTCTTGGGTAACAGACCAACAGGATCATGAATTTGGAAACACTCACACTGGAGACACTAAGCATCACCTAGAAAACTGCCTGAATCTCATGGCTCAGTAGTCCAGGCCCCCAGATCTGGATGACCTGAGAAGCCATCCAGCTTCTCACCCTTACTTCCCAGATAAAATGGTGCCAAGCCTCCCAAGCTCTCAAGGGACAGAGCTGAGATGAGCACCCAGCCCATACCAGAGGCATGCAGGCGTGTCTCCTTCCCACCATCTTATACTTGCAGGTCAGAAGAGTATCCATTCTTTGGCACTATCCCTCACCAAGACAAATCGGTTTTCTGAAGGTAATTGTCAAGTGCATTGGAATAGGGAAGATTTGTGTCTTTAGCAGAGAGAGTTGCATAGTGTCTAAGTGCCTGTCATCTTCCCATATGAACACTGAATTTGCACCTGTGGGCAAACATCAAGGCCAAATAATGACCTGGACAAATGTCAGTTAAACATCTGGCCAGTAGCTGGCAGTATCTTTCAACCATGAGGAAATAAACAGCCTACTGGGCTGAGAGATTGCACCTCTAGAAGGTTCTGTTATAAAAAAATTCTGGGCAATCACATTATTGTATTTTAATTTTCATGTATTTTTTACAATTAAAAGGCAAATGCAAAAATATATATGTTCACAACAAGATTTGAATAAAGTATAACAACTTCATTCAAATGGTCAAAAACTGGATAGCTATTGATATGAGAAAAAAAATTTTTAAAGAAGTGGTATCTACATACAATGGAATACTATTTACCAATTAAAGAACCAGCTACTGATATAAATAAGAACATGAATGAATCTCCAAAGCATCATGTTTAGTCAAAAATGAGAAAGCATACATTGTACAAAAATGAAGAATGAGGTAAAATATATATAATTACATATATATATAGAAAAATGTTTTAAATGTTTTATACAAGGAGTACATTCTATATGAGTCTTTTTTTTTTTTTTAAGATTTATTTTACTTGTGCATACAGAACTGGGGTACAGGCCAGAAATGCAGGGGCAGTGAGTGGATTCACCAGAGGCAGAGTGGGGAGCAGAACAGACCAACTGACGAAGTACACTGCTGAGGGGAGCAGCAGGTGGGCCAGGAGAGGTCTGACGTGTCATGTGGTCACCTCCGGGGCAGGCGGGATCAAACCCATGCGGAAGTGGCTTTAGCTTCTTAGTGCTGTGCTTTAACCCGCTGCATCTCCAGGGAGGGCCGCTATATGAGTCTTTCAAGTAAAGTGCTAGAACAGGTGAACTAAGGTCAGGTAGGGAAATCAGGACAGCAGTTGCCTCTGGGGGTACACAGGCATGTCACTGACCATGAAAACACAAAAGATAGCATTCTGGGGTGAAAACAACATATCTTGATGGGGTTTGGGTAACACAGGTATCGTAAATCTCAGAGAACAGTGTGTGCGCATTTCACTGGACATTTTACACAAAGACTTAATGTGAATAGGAAACTCTAGTAAACAGTAAATGCATGAAAATATTTAGCAGGGTGCATAATGATGTATGCAACATACTCTTAGGTTCTGTCAAACTGTGAGATGGGCTGTAGGCTGGGTAGAAAGATAGAAAGAGGAATAGACAAGTGATTCCACACAGGGTAAAATGTTCATGCTGGAATCTATGCTCACTATAAAGATCTTTCAACTGCGCTCTAGGCTTAAAATTTCCATTAAGAGCTTGGAGGAAATAAATATGGACAAAACAAATGTCAGGGTGCCAGGGCTAGATTAGGTATAAGAGTATACCTATTAAACTATTAGATAATATATATTACCTCATGTAAGCAAATAAGTAAAAATAAATAAATAAATAAACATTCATCCATCCATTCAATTGATTATCAATCAATTATCCCTAAGTTATGTGAGTTAATTTAATTCTTTGGCAGGAACTAGTGAGAAACAGCAGCTTGTCAGGAACAGCTCGCTGAAATGGGGCATCGGGTGGGAAAGACAAGGAGAGAGAATCAATGGAAGAAAGACCTGGATGAGTAGTAAGATTTGACAGAGAGAGGGAGAATGACCTGCAGGGAATGACACACACACACACCCATGTCAACAGACACAGTCACACACCTCTCGGAAACACACCCACACTCCACACAACATCCTGGTTGCCATGGGCTACCATGCCCTATCTCAGATCAGTTAATGTAAAGAGTTACTGCTAACCTCAGAAAGCTGAAATCATTAACAGAATGTGCCAATTTACAAAGAGATTTACAGAGTTTTAGCAAGAGGACCCTCCCTGGTGGCCCATCCTGACCCCTAAATTCAAACTTAGAGAGGGGACTAAGCCACCAAACCTACAGAGTCCCTAGTAGAGCCAGAGCCTGCACTCCTACTTTCTTTTTTCTTTATATATATATATATCATTCTTCACTTTGTGCATTTTTTTAAATCTCAACTGTAATCCCCATAGTCTTCCCACTACCAATTCACTATGTGCCATTACCATAGTCCAGTGCACTTCCACTTTCAATTATTGTTAATTAAGTGAGCCTGTCCCTGAAAATAGTCCTGAACTCTCAACTGCAACTATCTACTTGAGAGTATACAGGCTGATCTCTCATTGGTTGGGTTCAGCTGAAAATGCTGTTAAAAGATAAGCAGTTGATACTGCCAATGTTGGCTTCTCTCTGGAGTCAAGTGACCTCCTGGGTCCCTGACTCCCGGCTGTGCACACCTGGTGGCTGTGCCTCTGTAGAAAAGCTGCCCATCATTTAGAGCCCCAGAGCTGCAACCCAGCCTGGTAAGCAAACACCTCAAAGTTTACCCAGTCCCCCCCACCCCTGGCCGTCACACCCACTCCATCCTGCTCTCTTTCCTCACACTCCTTCACCCTCAAGGTACTGCTTCAAACAGGAGGAAAAGCTAACTTGCCAACATTTCAGTGGGTGCAAACAATGTGACTAGCTCTCATATGATCTCCCCAGTGTTGTTCCTTCTAGGGTGGCAGAAATCCTCTAAGGATCCACCTGCAGCAGACCAGGAGAGCAGAATGGCCAGGCACGCCTTCCCAGGATACTTCCTAGTGAAGGACACCAGAATATATCCTAGCCAAGAGAGGCTCGGCAAAGCTTCAGGATCACTGACCTTTAAGAAGTGATATGTTGTTGGGAAGGTGTGAAACTCAGCCATCCCTACACTCAGGTGAGAGAGACATCCTCTCATGTTACCCACCTTTTAGAGGGGGTCTTCTGGCATCAGCCAGAGAAAGGCTTGAAGGCCTTCCACGGAGTATGGAATGACCTAAGTTTCCCTTTTAGTCACCTTCTGGACTGGAGAGGGGTTTCCAAATTCCAGTCAGCCAGGTGAGAGCAGATGACACCCTGCTCTCTCTCTCCTTCCTCTTCACTTGTTTCTTCAGGCCCTTCCTGGCTCCTGCCTCCTTCCTTCTCTTCCCAAGCCCTTCCAGCCTCTTCTCATAGATTGTGTCTGGAGTTTCATCCATTTCCATGACTTCCCTGACCACCCTGAGCCTCCAGCTGGACCTCTCAGTGGGTCTACACCCCATTTCCAATTGCTTTCCAGACATCAGCTCCTAAATGTCCTTGGACATTCACAAGTTCCAAGCTTAAGTGTGTTTTATGTTTATTATGTTTATTTATGCGTATTTCTCCTCTTCTACCCTCTTGTCCCTCAAGTCTGAAACTTGGGATGGTGCTGGGCTCCCCATTCCTTCCTACACCTGGAAAGCCAATTGGTGTTCAGGTGCTGGAAAGCCTACATCTCAGTCACAGCTATGTGTCCCATTGCCTCCCCCCAGCCCCCATGAACCATGACCATAAATTAGCTCCCACTTTCCTACCCCCCACTAATCTCTCAATGCCACAGCTTCTGAGTTAGAATTCCCATGTGTAGGGCCTGGCAAGACAAAACCTTTAAAATACTCCATTACAGATTCTGAAGAAAAGCCTGGCCTGGAAAGCCACTCTCCTACTCAGGCCTTACCACTTTTTCAATCCACCTTCTGCTTATTGTGACCCAAACCTCTAGCAGCTCCTAAAACATGTCACATTCTTTCTTGCCTCTGTGTTGGGTGCCACCCATGAGCAAGCTGCTCTGAGCAGTCAAGTCGGCTCAAGGTCTCCCTCTGGAGCACATAACCTGCCCCTCCACCCCAGGCAGGGCTGAAAGCTTCCTCTTTAGAGGGCCCTAAGCCCCTTACCCACGTTTTCAGGTAGTTCCCCATATTCCCTACCTCATTTGAGCTTCAAGAGCTTTTTGTTTCCTGGATCCCAATACAATGACTTCCCAAATTGCTGGAACTTCATAAAGATCTGCTGAACAAAATTTCAAGTTCCCAGTAGTTTAGTTGTACCAATTAAGCCTAAACTTAGTATTTTCTTTATGTCCCTTGATTTTTCCCTTTAAACTAGCTGTTCTGCTTTAAACACACAGAGCACTTGAAGACAGTCTGCAGTGAGGGCCACTCTCAGGGGGGCGATGGCCCCACAGGCCCACAGTACTCATGGTCAAGTAGGCCAGATCCAGAAAACAGTTTCCCTAGATGGGCACCAACTATTGAAATTAACCTGAGAGGTGAAACTGCAGACATGCATTGGCAGAGCATGAGTGAAGGCAGGAGTGGCAGGTGGGGGCTGGGAGATGGCACAGAAGCAGGGCCTAGTGGCTGGCCTGTAAGTCAGAAAGGGGCAGGGAGCTTTCGGGGAGTTCAAGTAGACAATGGCCAGACCGGTTTTTCTCAACAAGATTTCCAGTAATGGAACCGCTGAAGCAAATGCTCTGCACATTTCTAAGGCATATGCCAAACAGCTTTTGAAGAGATGGATCATTTTACACTTGGACTGGCACACTTCCTCCCAGCAGTCCCTTCTTCCTCCTTAGAACCTCACTTCCCATGGTTCCCATGCCAATTCTCCTCTCCTCCTCTCTGGGATGGTTCCATTCCAGAACCCTCTGCCTCTTCCCCGTCCCTGAGCAGGTGCATTCCCCACTGCCGTGTCTTGGCCCTCCTCACTCTTCACCTCATCTCCTCACTGCCTTGGTTAACTACCACCCTGGTGGACAGAAGACTCTTGGCCCATCCCCTCCACCAACCTTCAACCACCCAACGGCTCTCCCCCAGGGTTCCCTTCATCCTTTAAACACTTGCAAGTACAGAATTTGCCTCAGAACTTCCCTAAGAAACTGCTCTTCCTCCTGATGTTCATAATGGTGCCAACAGCACCAGCCCTGCTCTCCATCACTCAGATTCTAACCTCAGTGTTATCCTTAGTGTCTCCCAAATCCTCCCATGTCCAAGTCCATTCTCCTCATTCTTGACTACATTCACTCACTCTCCAGACACTGCCTCTGTCCTCCATTTCCAATATTGTAGCCCTGAATCTTTCCTGTGTACTTAGAGTGACCTAAGATTTTAGTCACTTGACTCCAGCCTCTCCCCGGGCACAGGGTCCCGTGGGTGCCTGTAGAAAGCTAACTCTTTAGCATGACCTGCCCCTTTTCTGCCATACCCCCCAGCAAGTTTCTACATACCCTCTAAACCTCAGCAGAGTGAATGAACACTTCTCATTTCTCACTAATCAGGAAATTCTTGAGACAATACTATCATTCAAAACAATCTTGGGCTATGGTGATAGCACAGGGTGATTTGGTGATGGGAAGCCCATGGGGATTACAACTGAGATGAAAAAATGCACAAAATGATGTAAAAATAAATTATTATATAAAAAATTAACAATCTTGGGGCCTCCCTGGTGGTGCAGTGGGTTGGAACGTAGCACTGCAAAGCTGGCTGAGGCCACTTCAGCACACATTCGATCCCCAGCCCTGGAGGTGATCCTCATGGCGCCACAGACATCTCCTGACCTGCCTGCTGCTCCCCTCAGCAATGTACTTCATCAATTTGCCTGTTCTGCTCCCCATTCTGTCTCTGGTGAATTCTCTCACTGTCCCTGCTCCTCTGACCTGTACCCCAGTTCTGTATGCATAAATCTTTTTTTTAAAGAACACTTTAAAAAATTAAAAATAATCTTTCTGACTCTCCCAAACTTTATGTTTACACACAGAAAGTATTTACTATTTTACAGGAGATTAGGTGGGGCAGGCATGCAAAGTGGGTGAGTGGGGCAGCCTGGAGGTTCCTGGGGTGGGTGCAGCTGTCACAATGGAACTGGCTGCCTCTCAGCAATTCCAGAACCAGCAGGCCACCCATACTTTGCTGTAGGGTCATTATTTGTCTCCAGGAACAGAAGTGGTTCTAATTACTTAAAAGCATTGTATGGCTAACTAAGACTGTTCAGGGAAATAGAGAACACCTTGCTCAGGTCTAAGTTAAATGTGCCCAAAGTGCCTAAGTCACAAACTTGCTGGCATTCAAGACAGTCAGCTAAATCTTTGGAAGTGAGAGTGGGATGAGGAGATGGGTGGTGTGAGAAGCAAGGAACAGAATCTAGAATTTGTCCCAGTCTAAGAAAAAACTCTAATAAAGGAAGCTCTCTAAAACCTAAACATGCAGCTACACAAATGGGGGACTCCCATCTGTAGAACTGACAATGTGGGGGCTTTCTGGTCAGCAGAGAGGAGGAGGCAATCTAGGGACACAGATCTTTCCTGGACACAAAGTGCTTAGGGAGGGCCAGCAGGCTCCTTCAGGATCTCAGATTCTCTGTCCATTCAAGCCCTCTAAAACTCCTCCCTATCACAGCTTCCTTCCATTGCTCCTGGCACCTACTTCATACTGAATAATGATGAGAGGGAAGCTCACACCTGTATTTTTTTTCTGCATCAAAAAGTGTAACTTAAAATAGGTCAATGTATGACTTTCCATCCTGTAACTTATCTTCCAATAATAATTTTGTTTCAGAATTTTATCTCCAGCAAGTTGAAGACCCAAGAAACATTCCTGGGTATGTAATGGCTCACATTCTTACTGGTAAAAATACAACTCTAGAAGAGGACTAGAGCAATTCAACGCTGTCCCTATAGAACTCTGGTCAATGCATCAAAGGAAATGCATCTAGGAAATGCCTCAGAGGGGAAAACACCATTCTGTTGATTGTATTTTTACTGTTACTCTTAAGCAAAGTAAAAGAAAAATAGTTTGCAAAAACAATTATTTACAACTATCATTTATAGATACAGCAAAAAAGTATCTTTTAAAGTACAAAGTTTGGGTATGAGACTGAGGAAATGGATGGATTCTTGTCTCATCCCTCTGAGTATACTGGGAACTCTAGAGATTCCCCACAGGATGTAGAAGAACCCAACTTCATGGCTATTCAAATGAACTCTTTCCAAAAGGGGTCAACACTTTTGACACTATGCAAATGGTTAACCTAGTTTATCTTGTAGTCCTGGGCATCGTGTGGGAATGCAGTCCTTCCTGACAAGGTGTGGAGCCCCCAGACCAAGGACGTTTCTGAGTGGCAGACTTCCTGGGGGCCAAGGTGTATGGTTGCTTTTAAACTGTAAAACGCTGTACTAATGTTAGGTGAAGAGCATGGGATTGCACGTTAGGGGCCCTGGGTTCCCAGCAGCCCAACTCTATGGGTGTGGACTGGACAGCAAGATCTGGCAGAGGCAGCTTTGGAGATCAAGTGACCTTCAATGCACAAGGCGGCATTTTGAAGACCAGTGAGTTCTAGAGCGCATCCCCAACACTACCGCCCTTCGCTTCCGGTGGGAGCTGTCCAAGGGTTGGGATGACCACAGATACTCGCATTCGCTCTTGCTTTGAGTTTTCTATGACTCCTGGAGCAACGATTCCCTAAGTGACGCGGAGGAAGGGGCCCCGGGCACGGGATGCGGAGACGCCCGCGTGAATCCTGGGCACCGGGTAGCTCCAGCCGAGAAAGGCAGCCCCTCGTACTCGGTTTTTCCAGCCCGAGGGGACCAGGTTCAGGGTGTGTGTGGGGATGGGGTTGCTTTCCCCGTGAACGGGACCCCAAATGGGACCTGCGAGTTGGGGGAAAGCTGCCGGCTCTCTCCCCGCAGCGAGCGTGCCAGGTGCACAGTGTGGCCTGGCCAGGTACAGTCAGCGTTAGCGCCGGGCCTACCCTCCTCCCGCGCCCTCCCCCAGGTCCGGCCACTCGCCTACCTGTGTGTACAGCTCGGCCACTGCCATGGGCAACAGAAGCCAGGGTAGCCTCCGGTCACGGGGGCACGAGGGGCGGCGGCTGCGCCTGCGGCTTTGAGGCTCTGGGGCGCAAACTTGGGGCGTCGGCACCACCTAAATCAGCGCCTGGAGACCCTGCGGGAGAAGTTTTCCAGCAGTGCAGAAACTTTCCCGAGGGCTGGCCCTCCGGGAGGAGGGAATTCGCCGATTGGTCCTTCTCGGCCCCAGGTTGCGCATCTTTGCCGTGATTGGCTGGGACGCGGGGCCGGGCGTGGCCTATCCTCCTCCCAGCGCGCGCCGCACGGTCAAGTGTTGCACCTGGCAGGGAGCGGCGCTGAGCGCGCGACCGCTGGGCCGGAACCCGCCGGAGCTGGGCTCGGGACTTGCTCTCTCCCAAATGAAAGCAGGTGTGTTTTGAGGCTTTTTCTGCCCAAGTTTTAGCTTCCTTGGGTCACACCTGTTTGCTGGAAAGAGAAGAGACTATGTCCATTTCCATAGAAAAACCACAAGAATCCACAAGACTATGTCCATTTCCATAGAAAAACCACAAGAATCCACAAAACTTTAGAAGAGACTATGTCCATTTCCATAGAAAAACCACAAGAATCCACAAAACTTTGTAATAGGGTCCAATTAGATGATCATATTTAAAAATCAAATATAAAAATGAGTACTTTGTCTTTATATAAGCAATAACGATTTAGAAAATACCATAGATAGCAAAATAGAGGCCGTGGGGAAGTAGGTGGAAGATTATTAGGGCTTTGGCAGTGGGCGTGGTGTGGTAACATACACCAGAAGAGGAGTGAAACTATACCCCTAAATCAAACTGTTGTAAACCAATGTTGTGCAACAAAAAATTAATTTATAAAAGAGAGAGAGAAAATAATATATTTACAATATCAGCAGAATTACAGTGTCCAGAGTTCACACTAACAAGGATCCATTGGCCTTTGTGGAGAAATGTTTAAATATCTCTTCAAGGGCATAAAAGAAGGCCTTGTCAATTCTGGACCCAAATAAATATGTAAACCTAATATAGTTGAAATAAAAATCTTAGCAGAAGTTTTGAAAAATTATGCAATAATTTTATATGGAATAAAAGACCATGTAAAAACTAAGACTGTTCTCAAAACAACAAAATGGTGAGATTCATCCTGCCAAGTTTTTTTTTTTTTAAGATTTATTTATTTTTACTTTATATATACTGGGGTACAGGCCAGAGGTGTGGTGGTTGAGAGGTTTCACCAGAGACAGAGTGGAGAGTAGAAAAGGCAGATTGATAAAGTACACTGCTGAGGGGAGCAGGGGGCAGGCCATGAGAGGTCTGCCACACCATGTAGGTCAACTCCCTGCCAGGGGGTTTGAACTCATTCTGCAATGGCTTCGAAGAGCTTCATAATGCGGTGCTTTAACTCGTTGTTAACCCATTGCGCCACCATGGAGAGCCTGATCCTACCAAGTTTTACGAGATATCACAAAGCCAAAGTCCTTAAAACACTGTAATACTGACATGGGAATGGAAAATGAATGGAAGGACTGGAGTCTATCTACTTGGCCCTATTATAGCATAGACCATATTAATAATAAGAGAAAAACCAAACAATGAGCTACCACTTTACACCCATCAGATTGGCAAACATAGTTCTGTTGAACAGTAAATGCTGCTCATGCAGCTGGTGGGAATTATACTGATACTGCCTTTCTAGGAAGCAGTTTGAGTATATCTAGTGAAAACAAATTTAGAAAAATTTCAGAAAAAATTCTCACATTATCACCCAGTGAGACAGTTTAGTAATACTCCACACAGAATGGTTCTAAGTCAGAGTTGGAAACATTTAAAAATCCATCAATAGGCCCTCCTTGGTGGCGGAGCAGGTTAAAGCACAATGCTAATAAGCTAAAGCCACTTCAGCATGAATTCGAACCCCGCCCACCCCAGAGGTGACCCATAAGGCGCCACAGACCTCTCGACCTGCCCGCTGCTCCCCTCAGCAGTGTACTTGTTCATCTGCCTGTTCTGCTCTCCACTCTGTCTCTGGTGAATCCTCTCACCTCTGGCCTGTACCCCAGTTTTGTATGCACAAATAGGTAAATCTTTAAAAAAAGAAAAAATATATATTTCAAAAAATCCATCAATAAAGGAATAAATAGGTAAGATGGTATGTACAGATAATGTGGAATTCCACAGCTGCTAGTAGGAATGTACACAATTTTTATCAGCTCAGGCAGATAGAAAAGAGAATGTTGCACATAAAAGACTTGAAGTACAAGTCTTCACATCTATTTTAAATCTTATGTAAATTTCAATACTATATATTGTTCATAGGTACAAGTGTAGGTGAATAAAGGTGGATGATAAATTACAATGCCATTAAATGTGGAGGGTGGCTATGAGGTTAAGGGAAATGAAATCAGGAGGGAAAAAAAAAACTTTGAAATGGCCTGTTAGAGACCAACAGTGAAGGGTGATACAGTAAGAATTTTATAGTAAATTCAATTTTGTGTACCAAAAAAAGGCATAAACTAATAGGGGCAATTACAGGCTGGGCAGTTAAGACAATTTAGAGGTCAAACTTCCATTTCCTTTATATAAGATTTTTATTGATGAATAAAAAGTACACAGAAAAGTACACAAATATTAAGTGTATAGCTCAGTGAATGCTTACAGAAGGAAAACACTATCAACACACTCAAGCAACCACACAGATCTATAGAACATTTCCAACATTCTGGAACATTCATGTCCCTTCCAGTCATCACACCTCAAAAATAACACTGTGACATTTTCTATTACTACTGGTTAGCTTAATCTGTTTTATATAAATGGAATCATGTGTGGACCTTTTCTGCATCTGGCTTTTTACATATTTATCCATATTTTTGTATGTAGTTACAATTTGCTACTTTTGTCTCTACAGTGCACCATTGTAAAAACATTCTATATTGATAAATTCATTCTCTAATGTTTGGGTTGTTTTGATTTGTGGTTATGAATAATGCTACTATGAACATTTTATATCATTTTTGATATACAGTTATATGCATTGCTGTTGGGTATATAAAAAGAGTGGGATTGTGGGCCATAAAGTATGCAGTATTCATTTAAATAAAGTATTCGTTTTAAATAATTATTGTTAAAGAATTTTTGCACAATAGCATCAATTTATACCTGTATCAACAGTGTGTGAGTGTCTCAGTCACTCACTATCTTCATAGTTGATACTGTCAATTTTTAAATTTTTAAAAACTCTCTGATGGATATGTTGTGATACCTCATTGTGGTTCAACTTGCATTTCCATGATGGCTATTTATTGAACATTGTGGTATCCTCCTGTGACATGTCAGTTCAAGTTGACTACTTGAACTTCAGTCCACTGCTATTTAAACAATTTTTCAAAGAGCACAATTTTCAGACCCATGCCACTTAAAGTGCTATTTGCTACCTCTGAATGCTATTCTCGTCTTTCAGATTTTTGCAGTGTAAACTAGGTTGCTGATGGACTCCCCTCTCTGCCAGCTTTGATTTCAACCCTCTAGGGTCATGAAAATAAATGACAATAGTCTACCTATTTTTCATTTTCTGAAACGTTGTTGCTGTTACTCCTCTTCCATTCTCTTCTTCGTAATGAATTTATTATTTATTGCAGGTTTAGGAGAAAGCGGGGTGGTCTGGGGTATAAATATGCATTAAATCCACCATCTTTTGTTATTTCATCACAAATCTTTTATCAGATATACTGGAAATACTTTCTCCCCATGACGTGGACTGTTTTTACTGTCTTCATTGTATCTTTGCAAATTTATCTTTTCTTTTTCTTTCATGGATCATGCTATTGGTGTTAATACCTAAAAATGTGCCTCATTTAAGGTTCCCAAAGATTTTCTTCTAAAAGTTTCATTTTAGCTCTTATATTTAGGACTAGGATTCATTTGGAGTTAATTTTTATGTGCATTATTGAAATAAGTTATATTTGGATATTTAGTTGTTAGAGAGATCACTTATTTAAAAAAATTGCCTTGGAAGCTGGCCATAAATCAATTGATTGCAGTTTCTGGATGTTCTACATCATTGATTTTTATGTTACTGGGTTGTCAAAAATCTCACGTTTTTTTCTATGTATATTTTCAAGCAAGAATATGTCATGACTTTTCTGACAACCCAACAGTCTTATGTTACTTAATCCCATATCTACTATGGGAAGCCTTGAAATTGAGAAGTGTAATTCTTCCAACCTTGCTTTTCTCTTTCAAAAATGTTTTGACTATTCTGATGTCTTTGCATTTCCATATAAATTCTGGCTTCCTATTAATTTCTATCAAAAGCCCATTGGAAACTGTGTAGAATCTACAGGTCAGTTTGGGCAGAACTGCCATCTCAATAGTCTTGGCCCTTCTAATTTATGGAATGCATTTCTGTTTGCATCTTTAATTTCTCTCAGCAGTGTTTGAAGTCGTCAGTATACAAGTCTCATGTTTCTTTTTTCTAAGTTGATTCCTAGCCATGTTATTATTCCCTTTGATGTTATTTATTTGAATGTTAATGACTTTTCTTAATTTCATTTTCACATTGTTTATAGCTAGTATGTAGAAATTTAATTGTTTTATCTTAATTCTGTTTTCTGACCTTAATTTATTAGTTCTGGTAATTTGTGTGATTTCCTTAGGATTTTCCACATATAAAATTAAGCCACTTGCAAATAAATCCATTTTTTACCTCATTTTTTCTCACATGGGTATCTTTAATTTTTGTGTGTGTCTCTAGAACCATCAACACAATGTGACTAGCAGTGATAAGAACAAGGGGACATTCTTGCCTTGTTCCCAGTCTTAGAGGGAAAACATTCAATTTTTTGCCACTACATATTAAGTTGATTGTAGATTTTATTCATAGATGTTCCTTGTCAGGCTAAAAAAAGTTCTTCTTACTCCTAATTTGCTGTGAAATTTTAAAACCTTGAATCAATTGGGATGCTCTCCATCAGTTGAGATGATCAATTGAGATGGGTTTTGTAGTCTA